ATAACCACCACTCGGTAAGCCCACGTGCTTTTCCTGCTTGCCGATGAGAACTTAGAACGTTCGAACGTCAGGAGATCTATCTTACAAAGGTCGAGTGGCTGACGCAGCGAAATGCAAGGACCCGGGAAAAGGATCGCATTCAGCCTGGGGTACGACTCGCGTCTCCACACCCCATGTAAGCGAGATGATGGCTGCAGCCGAGATATGACAGATGCCCTATCTTGTGGTGCCGTGGCTGTTTTGAATCAAGGAGATGCCCACGTGCATCGATGCTCTGCAGCTGCTGGTACACTCCAACGATATCTGAGCATGTCGTATACACAATAATGCACAACACAGTGCTGGACATGTATATGGCTTTGCATTTCATTACTTCCCCTAGAGCACAGCATGCCTACAAATTGGCATCACACCCACCCCTTGCTGGTGTTACTACTGACTGAACGGTTTTTTGCCAATAAAGTGGGAGTATCAACATGCACCCGACTTTTACTACCCTATCTATACTGGCAGTAGCCTCTTTAGCTGATGCTGCTGCCATTGAAGCCCGCTCACAGAGCTCAGCTCCACTGACTTCTAGTCCATCAGCTACCACAACTGGAGTTGATTGGTTTCAGACTACGCCCGAGAGCTACCAGGGTATGTACTTAGTCGTTTTGCAGACTTGGGTTAAGCTGACTTCAGAAGGTACCACTGCAACCGGGGTTGCTCCCTTCTTAGCCGAGACAAATCCTGCCCCGTTTGGACAAAAGACCCTGTCTCCCAATGACCCGCTGGAAACAAGTGAGCCGATCAAGGGGGCCGCTGGCCGCAATATATTCCATTACATGGGCACCTAAGGTACGTATCTTAATGATGGATTTCCCATTGTTCTCAATGTTAAGTCCGTTACTAACTCACACAGCCCTTACCATGTACCCGACGGCTTCGGAGTAGATGAATATCCTCTCCCGCAAGGATCTAACATCACCCAAATGCATATGATTCACCGCCATGGTTCTCGGTATCCTTCATCCTCAGAAGGTCTGGCTTCATGGGCCCAGAAGATCATCAATTCTACGGCTAGTGGTAACAATTTCACGGGCGCACTTTCTTTCCTGAACAATTGGGACTACGGAGTGGGTCTAGAGATCCTCGTCCCCAAAGGCCGTCAGGTGCTCTATGACAGCGGCGTCCTAAACTTCTACAACTACGGCCACCTTTTTAATTCCAGCTCGACCCATAAGCTCGTAGCGCGCACCACCACCCAGGACCGCATGCTCAAATCCGCAGAGAACTTCCTTGCCGGCTTCTTTGGCCTTGAATGGACAGACAAAGCCAACCTGCTACCAATAATAGAAGGTGTTGGCTACAACAACTCCCTAATTGGGACTTACTCCTGCACCCGCGCACTAGAGTACATGGCATACAATGCCACCACACCCCTATCAACATGGAAAAACATCTATCTCAAAGAGCGCACCGAAGAACTCCACACTCTGACAGGATCTTCTAACTGGACCACGACCGACAGCTACAACGCGCAGAGTATGTGCGCTTACGAGACCATCAGTTACGGCTACAGCCACTTCTGCGAACTTTTCACCTTTGAAGAATTCGAAAACTTCAGCTACACCTTCGACATCGAATTCTCCAACATGGTCGGATTTGCCTGTCCCGCGGGCCGCGCGCAAGGAATCGCCTGGGTAGAGGAATTTCTCGCCCGTGTGGAGGGCCACTTACTCCAGACTACAGGCACCAATGCCAACATGACCCTGGACTCGAATCCTGTGACGTTCCCAACGGATCAGAATCTCTACCTTGACTTCTCGCATGATGCGGGTATAGTCGCTGTTCTCACTGCGTTTGGATTCAGGCAGTTCGCCCAGTATCTGCCTCCTACTGGACCTCCTCTATACCAGCAGTTCAAGGCTAGTAACATCGTTCCTTTTGGTGGACGGACAAATATTGAGATCATCAAGGCGCCTCATATGGTGGCTGCTACGCGTCCTGCGGGTGATCAGAGAAATGTCTATGTGGATGGCACTGGGGAAACGTTCTACATTCACTTTTTGCAGAATCAGCGCACGCTCCCTCTGCATTCTAGCTTTGCGGAATGTGAGTATCGCGATGATGGTTGGTGCGAGCTGTCTATGTTCATGAATGTTCAGAAGAGGAGTTTGAAAAGGTCACAGTTTGAGTATGCTTGTTTTGGTAAGTGGACTGTGACTGAGTACGGGACTGTTACTGATGGTGTTCCGGTTTGATGCTGGATTTCGATGATGTATCATATAGTGTGAAAGGCAGAAGCTAGTGTGGTATGGGCATTCAATATGTGTTGGAAGATGAGAGATGCAAGATTTACAATAGCAGTACTTGCGTTGTATAATGGCAATACATCGTCGTGTACAAATCAGTTTTCCGGAACCTGATGGTCCGCTGCTTCGACGCCTGCATGCCAGCGATATTTTGCAGCCGGATGATCAGCCGGCGGGCCGCTCTGCCCTTCCTTGCCGTAGATGTTTTCGCGGTACGTTCCCTTCTTGACAGTGTAGTCATCCCAGAAGAGGCCTCTCTTACGGAGTTCAGGGATCAGCAAGTCGATGATATCCTTGAAGGAGCCGGGTTTGATAGCATACGCCTGGGAATATTAGCAGATTAGACCCTCCACCCTGTGTAGCAACTTACCAGATTAAACCCATCCACATCCGCCTCATGCACCCACCGTTCCATCTGATCCGCCACCTGCTGCGGCGTTCCAACTGGCGTGGCACCCAATCCACCCACCGTGATATGTTGACCCACCGTAGCCTTCGTCCACTTCCCGACCTCTGGAGTCGCCTTGGACCAACCCTCAACGGCAGACCTATCACACAATCAGCACTTCTCCCACCCATCACCAAGCACAAGAAGAACATACCGAATAGCATTACTCTCCACATGCCTCAACTCCTCATCCTCGCCATAGCGATCGAGATCAATCCCCGTCCAGCCCCCAAACAGCGCCAACGCACCATCAATCGACCCAAGACTCCTAAAATACCTAAACTTCTCCCACGCCTCCTCCTCCGTCCTCCCGAGCACCGGACACAACAGCGCCAGGAATTTAATCCCCGCAGGGTCCCGTCCAAACTGCGTCTTCGCCGTCTCCCGGATTTCCGCAATATTCTTCGCCACCACGGACGGACTATGTCCCGCCACGAAGATCGCCTCGGCATGCTGTGCCGCGAATGCCTTCCCGGCTTTGGATGTCCCCGCTTGGAGGATCACGGGTGTGCGTTGCGGGCTGGGTTGGCAGATGTGAGGGCCGGGGACGGTGAAGTATTTGCCGGTGTGGTTGATTTCGCGGACTCGGGTTGGGTCTGTGTAGATTCCACGGGTGCGGTCGAGCACGACGGCGTCGGAGCGCCAGGAGGATTCCCAGAGTTTGTAGGTCACTTTGATGTATTCTTCGGCTTGGGCGTAGCGGTCGTCGTGCTGGGGGTGGTTAGTATCAAGGGTGAATTTTTGGGGGATGAGTGAGGGGTGCGTTAGGGTACCTGGGGTTGTTGGGTGTGGCCTAGGTTACGAGCTGCGGAGTCGAGGTAGCCCGTTACGATCTGAGTTGGTTAGTTTGGTGATTATTGTTAGCTGGGTGGTGGATTCTTACGTTCCATCCTATCCTGGTTTTGATGTTAGTATTGGTAGTGACGACGAGGGCCGTGAAGAGTGACTTACCGTCCCCTAGTGAGATGATCAATAGTAGAGAGCCGACGCGCAAGATGATACGGCTGCTCATATGTCGTTGTGACAGTCACTCCGAAGCCGATATTCTGAGTCGCGGCCGCCATGGCAGGTACGACAGCTAATGGCTCGTTGACGGGCCATTGCGCGCCAGATACAATGGCTGGTTCGAGGTTGCGGGGGCCTTTGTATACATCGTAGCCGCCTGGGGAGGTTACTATCTATGTATATCATAGAGGTATTTGGGAATAAGAGCTACCTAGGACATCTGCGATGAAGATTCCGTGGAACTTGGCGGATTCTAGAAGCTTTGCGAGCTCAATCCAGTGGTCGATGTCGTTGAATCGGTGCGATTCGTCCTCTGGGTGTCGCCACAGTCCTGGGGACTGGTGGCCACTACCTGGGGTGTGTGAGCGATTGAATAAGAAGGAATTAGCGAGTGCGTACACATTTCAACGAATGCATTGAGAATTAGTTGTTTGCGGGGTCGAGATGTAGCGTTGTCGGTAGCCATTGTGGAAGGTAGATAGGAGGATAGGTTAGTGACGGAGAGGCGCTGGCTTAGGCTTTTCGAACCGGCAAAGGCTGAGTCTTCAATGTGAAGAATTCGAAAAAAAGACTAGTCAATATTATAAAGTTCTTGCTCAGAAATCAACCGCGAATAAGTATGGACCATAAGTGTGCAATTCAGACCTCGCTGGAGGGGATGTTCAGTAGCATCACAGTGGGCCGGGATGACGTGATGGGGAGATGAGGGGTCGCCCATTTACAGGGATCACATATTCAATACAACCTCAAATAAGAGCAGGGATAATTATGAAGCTCTTTATCTGAAATCTGGACACGACGATTTCTGGTCGACAATTACATGACCTCGGTAGTTGGTCGAAAACTTGGCACAAGCCACCTCGGGCTCCCGGAGCATCTACCCCTGCCCTATCTTTGGGCCTCTTCCGCCAACTATCGTCCCTGTCACGCAATCACTTAACTTTATTGACCCTACGCTATACGGACAATCATGCACGTATATCGGCCGAATAACTTTAAATCCAGATATATTATCCCCAGGATCTTGGAACCCGGTCAAAGCACCTCATATGCATAGGCTATCCTATCATCAGGGAACACGAAGTTCGCGGTAGCATACAATGATCGGCGGATAGCGTGATAGTAGCGATAATGTGTGCTGTGATGTAGATCTTAAAGGTACATTTGCCGGGGTGCCTCCACATAGTCAGTTTTGTTTTTCTGCCGCTGTTGAATGTTGTATTGTCTAGCCACTGGAGTATCTTGACCAGATGTCAGAAATCCAAGCTCGTGCAGCAGGGGCCTCTGTGCAGCCGCCACTGTCTCAGGCTGTTGGATATGTTATTGTCGTGGTGCTAGGGCTCATCATCGCCGGTGGTATGTACACCGAAAATAGACGAGGATTGCAGCTGACAAAACAGTGATGATGGTCATCACCAAAATACTCAAGAAAACAACGGGCGAAGACAACAAGAACACTGAGATGTACGTCCCATAAGGATAAGGGGCTCTCACCTGCTAATATTATTTCAGGTTCATGACTGCCAATCGCACCGTTCGAACCGGCTTAACAGCGTCCGCAGTAATATCGGTATGAGTCTACCCTCGGTAGCGGTGCATTCCTGCTAAGTGAACAGTCCTGGTTATGGACTACAGCAATGCTAGGAGCATCATTTGTAGGGTATGACTATGGCGTGGCTGGCCCCTTCTGGTTTGCTGCAGGTTGCAGTCCGATGATTGTATTTTTCGCCTTGATTGGGATATCCTGCAAGAGGAAGATCCCGGATGCACACACATCGCTCGAAGTGGTCCGGATCCGATATGGTAGGCTGCATGGAAGCTATACTTATCGACCTGATGCTGACGTGTTTAGGTCGCGTTGCACACGCGGTCTTCATGACCCTGTGTTTGATCAACAACATCTTCGCGTGCGCTAACATGCTCTTGGGTGCTGCAGCAGTTATATCAGCCATGTGAGTGCTTCACCGAACTTTCGAATCTTACTGACTATATAGAACTGGGATCCACATCATTGCTGCGACGTTCCTGTTGCCTGTTGGCGTTACCGTATACACCTTCGTTGGCGGCATCAAAGCAACGTAAGTGCCCAGCTGAATGAAGAGTACGCCATGCTTACCGGGATAAGATTCCTTACCGACTACTTCCACACGGCGATCATTCTTATTATTGCATGCTATCTCTCTATCAAAGCGTTTACCTTCGAAGAGGTTGGGTCGATCGGAAAATTATATGAGCTCGTGCAAGCCGCTGCGCAGCGCCATCCTGTGTCTGGAAATCAAGATGGGACATACTTGACCATGACCTCGAAGGGCGTACGTACTATAGTCCGTGTTGTTGTCTCTGCTAACAAGCCCAGGCTATCCTGTTCGGGATTCTTCATATTTGCTCCAACTTCGGCCTAGTGATTGTAAGTATAAACACACCAGTCTCAGCAAATGACTAACACTTCTGCCAGATGGATACTAGCTATTTCATAAAAGCGTTCTCCGCTGCTCCCTCCTCTGTAGTACCGGGCTACACAATCGGTGGGATTGCTTACTTTGCCATTCCCTGGGCTCTAGGAACCATCATGAGCTCTCTTGCCCTAGGCCTCGAGAACACGTCTTCCTTTCCGACGTATCCCCGCGTAGGTACTGTCCACCTTTGATCGTCGAAGATGTTAATCAATGCAGCGCATGACCTCCACGGAAGTCAGTAATGGCCTTGTCCTTCCATACGCAGCCATGACTATTGCTGGGAAAGGCGGGGCGGCGGCAGTCCTTCTTATCACCTTCATGGCGGTCACTTCGACGCTCTCCGCGCAAGTCATCGCCGTCAGCTCTATTCTAAGCTTTGATGTATACCGGGAATATATAAACAAGTCAGCAACAGACAGAGACATTATCCGTGCAAGTCACTTTGGTGTCATTTTCTTTGCTGCGTTTTCTGCCGGATTCAGCACTATGCTCCATTATGTCGGTATTGATCTTGGCTGGACACTATATATGCTCGGTAAGCCTCCACCTCAATTCAAGTTGGCGCAAATACTTATGAGAATAGGTGTGGTAACATGTCCTGGGATCTTTCCTATGGCATTCACGATCCTTTGGCGCCGACAGAGCAGAGCAGCCGCAATTCTGTCCCCAGTTCTGGGAATGGCGACCGGCATCGGGGTGTGGCTTGGCACAGCGCAGCACTTTTATGGTGCAGTATCTGTCAGTTCAACAGGACAGATTCTACCTTGCGTCTACGGAACTGTAGCATCTGCTATCTCGCCAATAGTTTACTCTGTCGTGATCACCCTAGTCAAACCACAGAGGTATGACTGGGCAGAGTTCCGCAAAGAGAAGCTGGGACTCGAGCGACTGGATAGTGATAGCGATATCACGGTGAATGGTCAAGGTAGTGAAGCGCAGCACACTCAGTCCTCGTTTAATCCCCAGGAGTTGAAGAGATGGGGTCGTATTGCTGCATTTTGGTCGATTGCAACTTTCTTGGGCCATTGGGTGTTGTGGCCACTACCGATGTACGGATCGAAATATGTTTTTGGAAAGAGGGTGAGTATTTGTCACCACTACTCACGCATGATGATCGGTGAAGTGCTAACAAAATGTCAGTTCTTCACTGCTTGGGTCGTTGTAGGAATTATCTGGTTGTGGATCACAATGCTCGTGGCGATATTCTATCCCCTTATTGATGGAGGAGTGCAGCAGATGATGCAAATATCTCGAGGGCTGCGTGAAAGGAAGAATGCAGTCACGTCCTCATCAGTGCCATCAGTGACCAATGATTCTCCCGAGGTGCTCAGAGTGAATGAGAAGTCTTGATTATAGTGTAATTTTGTGGAACATTCCGAGTCACAGGGGGATGTCTATGGATCCTGCCTATGCATGATCGGCAGCAAATATGAATGTTAAGTGGTGACGCTATTTTAGCGCGTGTAAATGTCTATAAGAGACCGCTGTCGTTTGTCGTTCAGTTTGAAGACTTCATCACTACTATAATCGAGTCGGTTGCTTGTCTATATATATATTGGCCTTTAATAAATCATATCCATGTTTTCCTATGTTACACATTTGCCCACGCAGCAATTATTTATACTGAAGGATTGCTTGGGCTGTCAGTGCTGGATAGACAGATTGATCTCTCAGTCGAGAAAATCATGATTCTGCTTTGCGGTGTCTGCAAATCAGGTCTCTCAAGGACATCAGTCGAAAATGGGACTGAACTTGCTTACTCAGCTAGGGTAACACTTGATCATTTGAGACATCCAGTCACTGTAACAAGGCACCCACCAGATCCTCCGCCGTATCTGCTATCTATGTGGATTTTCTCTCTGGTTTTTGTCCCGAGGCTGCACTTTTGGGAATCTAGACGGATCTTGAATATAGAAGAGCCTTCCCTCGACTTCTACAGATATCGTCTAGCTCCGGAACTTGGCTACATAAATGATGGCTGCGACATTGCCACTCGAGCTGCTCCAATTGATTGGAGACAGTCTGAAAAGAGAAGAAGTGCCACTATCCCCCTGTACCACTGTTTGCCGCTGGTGGAAGGAGGCTTTTGAGCCTTCCATTTATTCTCGGGTTGTGGTTTGTAGTACGCATGCCAATGAGAAAGCACCGGTGTCCGGAATACCTGTTGATGTTTTTGAGGACATCGCCTCACAAGCTGGAGCCGCTCGTCGCATGATGATTCGGTACGTGTTCCGTATAAGCATGGACACTGGGATGGCTACATGTATAGCCACTATGACCAAGCGAACCCATTTGGACAAACAATCAAGCAAGTCTTTTGATCCGCAACTGTTGAGCTTTTCCGTGTGCTCAGTGCGTGGCCTCAGCCTAGCTGTCTCTGTTTGGACGTGGGAATAGTGGGTTTTAGGCTGGTGATAGAATCGTCAACCGCCTGAGGACCATACCTTGGGCTCTACGGCTGGCCGGCAACAGGCGGTCACGCCTTACTGGACACAATTTTCGCACCATGTTACCAGATTGCTTTAAATCTGGATAACGCTTTCTTTCTGGGCATTGCAAACCCAAGTGACAAACTTGGAGATCACCAGATCCGCGCAGAAGCGATCTACGACATCGCCAAGCATTGTCCGATTTTCCTGTTGATGTGTTTCAGACCATGACTTCAAGAGCTGGAGATACTCATCACTCCTATCAAACACAAAAGGTCCTCCCAAAATTTATACTGAATGTCTCGACCAACATGTTTAATCTGTGGAAGATTTCGATATGCTAAGACTGCCTACAGCTGTTGGGACAGACGAAGTACATGGCATAAGAGCAGCCCAAACTCAGAACATGTGTGAAACCAGAATCGTGAAAAAAATCGTGGATATACCAGTCGGCATTGTGAAAGAAATCAGAGCAAAAATACAAAAGAACGAAATAGAAACGAGGAGGACAATACGCAGATAATGTTGATGAAGAAAATGGTGCGCCAAACTCAGCTGATGTTCATCTGGTCACCATTGTTGTTGTTTTTATCCTCGTCTATATGTTCTTCTGATTTTCTGGTCGGTCCAGATCGTACGCCTGCTGAGCATATACGTGATAAAGATCTTCACGTATATCCGAACGCGAACATGCTCCTGGCGGACCAGCTCTTCCACTGTCCCGCTAATTGCTGAGGTATGTAGGCCGTATCATACTCGCCACCAAACTCATTAACCTTGGAAGAGATCGACCCGAGTTCATCCAACTCCTCGAGCTTCGCCTAGACGCGGTTAACCTGCTTGACCAGGGTCTTTTTGATATTACTAGTATAGTATTGGTACCACCCATTGATACGCAATTCCAAAGACCTTCGCACATTATCCCATTGGCGATTGTTAAAAAATACTTCTGTAAACTTTAAATACGAGATATTATTGCTTAAAAAAACCACTATAGTCATCGTCAGCTTCAGTGACTTGTTATTTGTAATGAAAGGCCGTCATAGGCACGACCGAGACAGGCCCATTTGGTAGTACGGTAGAGTTGAAGCACTTATTATAATTCTCCATCAGGTTATGAAGTCACATATAGGAACCACTATTGTGTGGCAACCAAGCGGGTGTGGCTGCGACAGCGCCCTTGATTAAAGAGAATTGAGCGGACAGTACAACTCAGCATGGACCCACTTTTGCTGTTGAAAGTACTGTCTTATGCAAGGTAAAAGCGACCGAACGGCTGAATATGACTAGGAATGGCGGGTATACGTGACTCGGATGTCCACTTTGACTTGGCGTTTGCCTATTTCAATATAATACCATCGTCAGTAGGGGATTTTGTTCTACTTTCAGATCAGTACGAAACACTTCGGTATCATTGCCTTTCATCGAAGGTAATTGGCTCTGAGGCGCGGGAGAATTGTCACAACCTATATATCTCAAGCCTTCAGTTACTTTCTGGTATGGAGAAAACATCGGATGGTTACACGCCAAGTCAGTAGTCATACTGGGAAGTTTGGTCAGAAACACACGATTTCTTGGCATATTTTGCGACTGGAGCATTAGATGCGTGAATAGACTCACCTGCTGTGCGACCCACAAGTAGACTTGGTTAGGGCCCGAGTGTTGTGAAGTTCAGACCTCTCATTCAATTCCACCGGCGCCAAAAATGTTTGTACCTAACTGCAACGATGGAGGATACTAGTTAGCATTGACTGGCCATATCCCAAGGCTAATTTAGCTGCTCAGAGCGTAGCCAACCATTTAGTAACCCCTCTATAAATCGGTTTATAGCGAAGACGCTGAGTGTATGGATTGATCTATACCACAGCAACTGGGTCCTATGCCACTCAATAAAATATTAAGCTACATTTATTACAACGTAATAATGAGGGCATTTTGATGATTTTTATCGAACATCACTACATTAACTCAAAGATTGGTCCTTTTACTGATTGAACTCGGAACCCTGGTACAAGTATAGTCCAAGACCTAACTAACCCAATTGAGTCAATGTTCCAGGGTTCGCTTACTTATCCGGCGCCAGCGAGTCCAAACAAGTTCGTCCTTTCTCTCGAGGCCTGACGATTCATTAATTTTACTTCTGGAAACTTACTGCTAGCATCTTCCATGGCCGGAATACTGCCGCTGGAGTTATTGATCGCAATTGGGTCCTACCTGGATGAAGGAGGGACCCCACTGGCCTCTTATACTACTGTCTGCCGTAGGTGGCAGGCAGCCTTCGAGCCATTCATCTACTCGAAGAAGCTCGTTATACATAGCGATAACGGAGGCACAGAGGCCCCTTCATCTGCCATATCTGTGGATAAATTTCAAGCCCTGACATCAGGTGCTGGGGCTACACGGCGTACATGGATCCGTCAACTGCAAAATATCATCAGTGTGCCATACGAACTTCCGGACTGGACAAGCCGCAAACATAAAGGCTATCGCCTGCAGAACCCAGTTCGGAAGGCGAACAATGAAGCCTTCAGATCAGCTACTTTCAGACTATTTCAAGTACTCAGAACTTGGGACCAAAATAATCGTGTCTCTTTGGAATTTGGTCTAATGGGTCGTCAACTAGGAGAGGAGCCGTTTACATCTTATTACCCGGATGCCTGGGAGTACACCTGGGACTTCACCAATGGGCGAACAAAGGCCACCAAGCCTTATCGGGCATGTTTTCCTGATAATAATGCTTCCATGCTGCCATACGTCGCTTGCATCGACAAACTTCACTTTGTGGATCTCTGGGACCCGGACAACGGCCAGAGGAATCACCAGATCTGGGCCAAGGCAATCTTCCAAATCGTACAACACTGTCCGACAATTGTAGAACTGCATGTGGATCTGGACTATCAGACTAGGCCGGACCAACTAGAGTACTTGCAAGCTAGACGTCAAGGTATGAATTGTCTTATTCCTAGATGCACCTTGCCCATACCTGCAGCATCAATGATGCCCTGACTTCCTGTTACTGATTCATCGTCAAACCTCCTATCAGCCGTATCCGATGGGTTAGCTATGGTTCCCAGTACTTTGAAGGTCTTTGACTTCACCAATGAGCTAGAGGAACCATGGAAAGATATGCTGCCGGCCCTGAACGTCTTATCTTCCGATACTGATAGTCTCGCCATGACCGTACGAGATCTAAATATCAATCTTCGTACCTTAAAGCTGCAGAAGACAGCTCTGACTCTGGATTTTCTCTGTCCCATTGATGATTTCGGACAGCCTACTTTAGCTGATCTGCACTGGCCCCACCTTGAGACTATAGAGCTGAACGACGTCCCGCGTTGGCTTCCTTCAGGTACGATATGCATACATAAAATTTTAACCGCAGACCGAAACTAAAATCATCTACAACAGGAAAATGGCTCACACATCCAACTCCTGAATATCAGGCTCGGATCGCTGCTATCGAAGACTGGGACTGGATAATCTGTCATTCCGAAGAGGGCTTGAACAAGGCGGACATAGCATGGGCGCTAATGAAGTGGTTAGCACATCCCAAACAAAGATAATTGTTACTGGGAAATACTCAGCAAGTGGAGTTACTGGATCCAGAGTATTGCTGACAAAAAGAATGGGCGTAGACATATTCTGAGCATCGATAGGCCCTTCACGAGAAATTAGCATGCATCTAAGCTAACAGCAACATGGACAGTGCAGTGAGCATACCTTCGAAAGACCCCGGACCCTTACCCTTCCAACTAGCACATGACATATAGAAATCTGCAAATGTATCTCCAATCCAATAGCTGCTCTCCATCACTGGCTGGAGATATAGCTTTGAATATTCCTCTTGCGTGAAATTTAATAATTTGCGACTCAAATCCAGACACGCAATACCCTTTGTGAGTTCAATTCGAGAGCCATAGCGACAGGCTTCACGGCATGGAGCAGAAGATTGGCATGCAGAATCGAGACAGTGAGCGGGTTGTGTTTCCTCCCGTAGAGCAGCTTTCCATGCTGCCATGCTGCTAGCGTTTCGCTGTTCAAGGTCTGATAAGATCGTAGCAAGAATAGGGAATAAATCATTCGGGGCATAAAGGGCGGTTTTGAGCAAAGTTTTGACATCGGAGTATGTAATGATCTCAGGGCTGGGTTGACTAGTCCAGAGCGGAGTGACTTTCAGGTCTGCTAGGATGTCAGTAAGGCGCTCTTGAAGACAACTTATCGCTTCTGTCTCGTCTTCATCGGGAGGCAATGCATTAGCAGACGCATCAGCAAATGCACATCGGGGATAGCCGGCCCGGTGGCAATAGCGGAAGAAACTGTCTACTACAAGATCTGCATCGCGGAACGAAGTAGAGAGATGTCCTGAATACCATCCCAGGGCATCTACCACTCCGTCCAATACCATCCGATGAACTTGGTCTGGGAAGAGACTGGCGTAGGTAATCCCTAGAAGAGTTCCATACGAGTAGCCCCAGTATTGTAGCTTTGCATTTTGGTTAGAACCGGGTTGCAGTAACTGGGCAAGATGGCGCAGGTCATGTGCTGTGCTCCAGGTATTCATGTAGCGACCAATATCAGCACTACCTTTCGCGGTCTCCCCACATGCGGTGCCAATGGCCTGCATGCGAGACCAAAGATAGTCTTCTGCATGCTCGGAGCTATCAACTAGACCTTCGGTCTGTACAGCCTCCTTCCAGAGATAGCTGGAAAGAATATTTGGGAAGCATGAAAGAGGGGGCAGGGTGTTTCCGACGCCTCGAGGATCAAACGAAACGATATCGAAATACCGCTCTTCCTTATCAGAGCTCTCGACGATGAACTGGATTTCCTTTCCGCGGTTGAGGATCTCTTGCACTCCTGAATCACCGGGGCCACCTTTTTGAAAGTGAGTAATCAAGAATAAGGTTTTCAAGCTATCTAATGTTGTAGGAGTAGAGTATACCTGGATTGATTATGATGGAGCCACCGTAGCGTTTGTCACTATGGTTGACCTCCGTGGAAAGCTTGATGATTGCCAAAATGACGGTATCATTGTTAGTGGTATCAGACCAATCTAAGGGAACCTCGAGACGCGCGCAGGAATAGTTCTGGTAGCAGGGTACGAAGTTGAGAGTGGACGCTGGAGTAGTCTGGTGAGTTCTTTTAGAATACGGAGGAGACCAAGATAAAGATATGGAGGGAATATGCATACGCGATTCCAGGTGAAGTTCCCAACTTGCGCCATGGCCGACGAAATTGTAGGAGATGGCGTTGTCAAAGGAACTAGAAAATAAAAATGAAGGAATTCGAGGTCCGAGAGGCGAGGGCATAGACGGCCTATTAGATACCCGAAAATGTGGCTGATGTGATAACTTTGTGAATAATACCCTTTGGATAGCAGTGTAACGCAGTTATTTATAACTTCTATTATTTGGAAAGCCTACTATGCGTCACGACGGGGCATTCATTTAAGCTGGAACTGAATGCTTACTGCTACTCGAAATCAGAAACGCAGTAGTACAAACTCTGGGCGGAGGAAGTAACCGCTGCGGCCTTGATCGACGGATGCGCCCGGTATGCTGTTGATCTTACCCCCGGAGATATCCTTTAGCATCCCAAAGTGTCTACAAAGTGGCATTATGCGCACACTTGCCTCAGTATGATACAAAAAGGAAGAAAGAAAGCACAATATGCCAATTCCTATGTGAATCTATTGCCGGAAGTATTCTATGGTTATGAAATTGGGAAGAGCAACCCAGCGGACGACACAAGCCATCAACATCGAACCAACGCCGATTGTCTCCAGCTGTCCTGTGAATACTCTATGCATAAAGAACCATAGCTCCATAAATTCGCCATCTGAGGCGATCATGCATGAAGATATATGCCAGGATCTTGGACTATATCTCTGTGATACAGTGGCTGCTCGGCTTTGTCTTTCTTTTGGTTTGTCCTTGAACTATTGCAATACTAGTCCATTTCACGTCGGCGATTGATCCTGGTAAGCACACCACATATTGACCCTAGCGCATAAAAAGCTGGAGTTAATCAGGGCATATCATGCCAACGGCAAAAATGCCGAAAGATTGACCCAAGGCCTACCATATGCAGCAAGCCGCTGAGATAGTAGTTCACAACCAAATGAAAAGCTATTTAAAGACAGACTGTTCGATTTAGTCCCAACCTGCTGCCTAAAACAGCCCAGCCTCCTGCTTAACCGCCTCTAACCAAACTAAGTCGTCGGCGTACGTCTGATTCCACGGATCATCACCCTCATACGCGAACAGCCTCGCCCGATCCTGAATCATTTGATCCGACGGTCTGCATCCGTTGGCCATTTGCTTGCGAATAAACTCCAACAGGTCGCGATGGACATCAAAATACCTATCCAAAGCAGTTGGTACATCCCACCGAAACGGGATCTCATCCTCCTCTTCATCCTCCTCCCTCGGCATAGGAAACACAACTGATGTCCTCCACGGATCAGGCGTCTGCGCCTCCCTCCCAATTAGATACGGCGGTATCGCATTCTCAACGAGCTGCTGCACTTCCGGCTCAAATCCCCAGTCGCCCATCCACTGCTTCATGTCCGCCCCATGCTTGAAATGCTCTGCGACATGGTCGACTCTCTCCTGCCAGGATTGGAATGTTGCATTGCAGAACCCGCAGCGGGAGAGAATGTGGTGGCTTCGACTTTCTCGCCAGGTGTTCATTGTTCCGTGGAAGGTATCGACGCGGTGGGTTAGTTTCAGGTGCTGGCGGAGGTTGTCCTTCCGAGTGAAGATGCGCTGCTCAGGTGGTTTCTCCAGACAGATGCTGTAGTTGTGTACTGTTTCGAGATGATCATCATCTACATTGGTTTCCTGGCAGAAGACGCACGTGGGTGTGCCATTGTTGTCGATTAGTCCGCCTTCAGGGGAACAACGCCATTGGTCGACTGGAAGATGAAGGGCTTTTTCATGGCGCTGCCAGTCATATTTCGTTGCGAATGTGTCCGCGCAGAATGTACACTGGTAGGGCCGACGAGTCCACTGGAGGCGATTTGCATGGCGGATGTGTTTCCGACGATGACGACGAGATTGTGGGCGATGAAGTGGAGTTGGTGGGCGCTGGGGAGGCCTGTGCGATGATAGGGCGACTGATATCTCGGAGCTAGATGACTGGCTGCGAGCACAACTGCTGATGGAAGCATCTCCCTGGATGAAGGAGCCACTGGAGTCGTTGCTTGACCAGGCGTATTGGGGAATGGTGTATGGCGAGCTGTCTGATAAGGCAGAGATATCGCTATCGGCGAGAGCTCGCAAAATGTCGTCCGTGGCTGCGGCCTCACTTTCTGGTGGCGAGCTCCTCCAACGTTCCATGGGGGATAGAAATGACGGACTCTGACGGGCAGACATATACCCTCTGGAGCGCTTACGCCGTCGAGCGTTAATGAACCAGTTGGAGACTTGCGCCCGAGTCAGGCCGGTGCGTTGCGCCAACTCATCCTTCTCCTGTGTCGAGGGATACGGGTTCTCCGGGTGGTTGTTTAGCCATGATCTGAGAGCTCTCACGGCCTCCCCGGATAGACGCTGATGAGGGCGGGCAGGACGGGCAGGCCCGCTATCTGGAGATACTGATGTCGCATCTGCCTGGGATTCAAGCGGAGAGAAGCTGTCAGGAAGCTCCGACGGTAGCGAGAAGATGGGATCTACGCTAGCGGGGTATAAAACAGGGTCTTCATCGTACAACGGTGGCAGGGATAAGATATCATCACATAATTTAGGGAGCGCCTGGTGAGCGTGCTCCATCTGGATAATGTGCGGACATGATCACCAAGATACGACCTAGATCGAGGTGAAGTTGAGGTTGCAAGCGGACAAAATCCTCTGCGCCCTGCCATTGACACCCGCTCCACTTGCCGGCTGTCGGCCGCCTTCCATGGATCCTCTTATTCGTCGCTTGTCCCGACTGTAGCCGAGATCGGAGGGCGATAGTTAGGTAACTTGATCATAAAGTTTGTACAGAGTCTTGATGCAATTAGTTTTGACTCACTCAACTGCACTGTAGGTTTCATCTTGGCAGTTAGGGTTATCACCCTACTAGCGTTTATCTTAACCTCTTCTTCAATCCGTAGACATTCATAGCAATCGCGTCACCTACATCATCAATTCAGTATGACTTCCACGTCAACCACCACTGCCGTCGAATGGCAGCAGGGTCCCCCGATCGAGCTTGAGTCGAGGGCTCCCAAAAATGCCGTCGCGCCAGTCTCAGACCCCACTGACGAGGTCATGGAAGCCTCACGTCTGGCCGACGCCGAAGTTCCTGAAGGAGGAGCAGGATGGATAGTTATCGCAGGTTGTGCAGTAATCACCTGGTGGTTTATCGGGACGTCCTACTGCTGGGGTGTGCTACAGGCAGCGCTGGTCAAGGAAGGAGTGTCATCTGCATCTACTCTGTCTTTCGTGGGCTCATTAGCACCAGCGTGCATCTCGTTTCTGGGAATTCTCAATGCTCGCGTGATCCGCAAATTAGGTACCAGGACGTCGGCACTCCTGGGTATTTTCCTACTCGGGCTGGGAGAGATCCTTAGCGGATTCGCCGTCCACGAGGTTGGTGGACTCTTTGTTACATCCGGTGTGGTGATGGGACTCGGAACGAGGTACGCGCCACTACTCCTACTGATAGCGCTTTGCTTTTGCTAATGAAGTAGTATCTCTTTCATGGTGGTTTCAATCACACCCGCACAATACTTCAAAGCAAAGCGCGGTATTGCCAACGGTATCGTATATGCAGCTGGTGGCCTGGGCGGTGCCGCCATCAGTTTCATCCTGGATGCCCTGCTATCCCGCGTCGGCACTGCTTGGACGTTCCGTATTCTCGGATTCATTACGATGGGAACCGGTCTCCCTGCAGCTTTCCTAGTGAAGCAGCGAATCCCGATCCCCCCGTCTGCTTTCGTTGAATGGTAAGGACATCCATATCCTCACAAATACATCACGCTGGACTGACTCCCAACCCACCAGGCGTCTATTCCGTGATATCCGCTTCCTGCTCCTCTTCGCAGCCGGAGCCATCGCCACATTCCCGTTGCTCGTTCCGCCCTTTTTCCTGCCCCTGTACACCGACTCCCTAGGATTGGGCTCTGCCGCAGGTGCTGGTGTCGTAGCAGCGTTCAACTTCTCCTCCGCTTTAGGAAGACTGACCTGTGGATTTGCCAGCGATACCATCGGCGGACTCAACACGCTGTTTGTCTCGCTGTTACTCAGCGCCCTGAGTATGCTGATCATCTGGCCTGTTTCAACCTCCATTGGACCGTTGGTCGTGTTCGTGATCATCAACGGGATGGCGAATGGGGGGTTCTTCTCTACTATTCCTACGGTTGTGGGAAATGTATTTGGATCTGCCAGGGTGTCTGTTGCTATGGGTATGATTGTTACTAGTTGGGCGGGAGGGTATCTTTTGGTGAGTGCCGTGCTCTTGATATGCCTTTGCGTCGGAATACTAACGGTGATATTCAGGGCTCCCCAATTGCGGGCTACATTCTTGATGCCTCGGGTGGCGAGGATGCCGGGATCAAGGCGTACAGACCGGCAATTCTGTATGCGGGTTTCATGGGTTTAGGAGCGTCGATTCTGGCTGCTTTTATACGTTTGAAGACGGATACGCGGCTGCTTAAGAAGGTATAGCTTACATTTGAACCAGAATCGACATAGTATGCTCTATGAATTGAATCGTATTAATGTTCTCTTGGGGAAGGGGGATATGGTTATATAAAGTAGTAATACTGTAGGCGGGAGGGTCGACATACCCTGGCGAGACGGGAATTGAAGATAACTGCGAGTGCAGGTCCCAACAGTATCGAGACGCCATACCTCAATGAACCAAGTTTTACTATTGGGACTCCCGACCGGTACACCCGACTGCAAAGCTGAGTGCAAGGTGTCGTCCGCCCGTATCATCTACCAACGAACCCACCCCCACTACCACAGGTCCCTTAACCCCAGAGTACCACCAAGCAAACAAAGCAGCAAAATAATTAGAATAAAATGTGACAAGAACCCCCCGACCAATAAGCCACAATAACAAAGTGCACAAGTTACAACCCCAGGAATGCGACGTTGCCGGATCCGGCCAAAACACCCACCCTCATCCACACCCAAACTACTGCCTATTGGCTCAAATCCAACCCCAGATCCAGTGTGACCTGATACTGCATCACAAATCTCGAGTTTAATGGTAGATATAACCCTATTGGTGCGTTCCTGGATGGTTTGTTAGGTGGGGTCCGTTTCTATGGAAGCATGAGATGCCACATTCCGATGCGGGAATGGGAATGTAGCGTAGATGGGAATCACCGATCAACACAACTCAATCTTCCCTCCTTTCTCTTTCCACTTCGCTGCCGCTCAGTGAGCAGAGCAGATCAGTTTCACCACCATCATCACCATGTTACTGCGAATATGGCACATCCTGTATACCTTCATCGTAGTCGTGCAGGCCATTGACTACGATGTGGACGACCCCGGTATCACTCCCTCCATAACCCTCTAGCCCGCAAATCCTGATCAACTAATTTGAATAGACTCTATCAAAGCAGCCTGCCACTCCATCGCCCGCCAAATGCTAACCCACTACACGGGCAACCAACCCGGCGACAACCCAGGCAACCTCCCCGACCCCTATTACTGGTGGGAAGCCGGCGCCATGTTCACAGCCCTCGTGGAATACTGGTACCTCACCTCCGACGACACATGGAACAACATAACAACCCAAGGAATAACCTGGCAAGCCGGGCCCAGCGGCTCCTTCATGCCCGCCAACCAAACCCGCACCGAAGGCAACGACGACCAATCCTTCTGGGCGTTCGCAGCCATGTCCGCCGCCGAGAGAAACTTCCCCGACCCTCCACCCTCCTCAGGAAGTCCAGGGTGGTTGGCAATGGCGCAAGCCGTATTCAACACGCAAGCCGCGCGCTGGGACACGAGCACCTGTAACGGCGGGCTACGGTGGCAGATATTCACGTTTAATAATGGGTGGACGTATAAGAATACGATATCCAATGGATGTTTCTTCAATCTTGCGGCCAGGCTGGCAAAATATACGGGAAATAGCACGTATGCGGACTGGGCGGATACGGTGTGGGATTGGACGGGCGAGGTAGGGTTCATGACAGATACGTATCGATTTTGGGATGGCGCCGATGTGAGTAGTGGGTGTGGGAATTGGAATTACATTGAGTGGACGTATAACACGGGGGTTTATTTGTTGGGGGCTGCTGTTATGTATAATTTAGTAGGTCTCCCTTCGGTTCTGTTGTGTTTGGGGAGTGAGATTGGTGCTAATGATATGGCAGACTGAATCGTCTGTCTGGAAAGCTAGGACAGAAGGGATCCTCAACGCCAGCTTCGTCTTCTTCCAGGACGATGTCATGTACGAGCGGGCGTGCGAGCCAGTCAACACTTGCCAGGTCGATCAGCGATCCTTTAAGGGGTACCTTGCGCGGTGGATGGCTGCGACGACGCAGATGGCGCCGTTCACGTATGATCTGGTGATGCCCAAGCTGCGAGCATCAGCCAAGGCAGCGGCGGAGACCTGCACGGGAGGTGAGCTTCAGGCGACATGCGGGCTGAAGTGGACGGATCGGAAGTGGGATGGAATGGATGACGTGGGGATACAGATGGCGGCGTTGGAGGTGATGCAGTCGACGTTGATCAGTCGGGTTGATCCCCCTGTGACGCAGGACACGGGAGGTACGAGTAAGGGCAATCCGGCAGGAGGAGAGCCGGGACCCGCGCCGGCGCCAGTGCCAGAGGGGTTGAGGCTGGAAATCACAAAGGCGGATAGGGCCGGGGCCGGGATGATGACGGTGATGCTTTCGATGATTGTTATTGGATCTACGGGGTGGATGGTTTATGAGTGATTGCTGGGAGAGCTTCTGAGTTTCATTATGTACATGTTCATATTGTCATTCTTTATGGTAATTATGCTGGACACAAAATTACTTTCCTACAGGAATGTACTCGTTGATACCTTGGACTGTCCACAGAGCAGGGTGCTTGTCTCTCGCGCTCTCCATACCAACCAACATGTTGTCCAGTGCTTTTGTATGTCCCTTCTCGTAGCCTCTGATGCGGAGGTACTCCAATTGCAACGGTAAATGATCCACCAGGACGATATCACCCAACTCACCCATCCGAGTAGCAAGATACCACAGACAACTAACTCCCAGACTCAAGCTTTGCAGCGATTCAAACTCCTTCAGCACACTTTCACCCTCAGCATCCTCCCGCACCTCACTTCCACCAGCAGCGACAAAATGAGACAGATGATCATCAAACTCCAAATCCAACACTTCCAACGTGGCCCTATGACACAAGACAGCCTTGATCAAACTGTACCGGTCAAAGAACTCCGCAAAGCCGGCATAGCAGCCACCATGCACAACCGAGTACCTCAGCTCCTTCAAGCACTTCATTGCATGAATAACCTTGCACAACAAATCCGACTTGAAATCGCACCCCCTGAGATCCAAACGCGAGATACTCGCCGATGAAGGCAGAAGCAAGCCTTCCAGCGCAGCACTAGTCGCAGTCCCGAAGCCCTGGATGGCCTGCATCCGTAGCGATTCGATGTTGGGAAGGGTACGCACCAGCTCAATGCAGAGACAGAGGTCCTGGGGCGCGCAGGCGCGGGATCGCGCAATATGAAAACTGGAGGCTTCTGTTGTTAGAATCTGAAAATACTTGAGATGGGCTAAGTACGAGATTCTCTTTTCTCCATTTTTGATGAAATGACCCAGACTAGCGCGTTGAAGGAACTTGGCTAGTGGATACTTTTCAATCTTGGCGGCGGAATGGTGGTTGTCAGAAGGGTCATCAAATCGGGGGGATGTGTATTCCCAGAAGGGAGGAGATATGGCGAGAGAAGTTAGGTTTGGGGATGACGCGATGAGGAGGACTGCCAGGGCTTGAGCGATGAAGGGGGATTTGCCGTGGTAGGCGTCCTCTTGGGTGCTGACTGGGTTAGATATTTCGTGTTTATCAAGAGTAATAGGAAACATACTTGTAGTAAGTGAGGTACTGCCAGTCTTTGGCGTAGTCTGTCTCCTGCATGGCCATGTTGAGTAGTCTCTCCTGTTCAGGACCGATGAAGCCAGCCCGGGTGGCGGCAACACGGAGTCGCTGCATGTCGCCTGGGTCGACAGGGCGATCGTATTCCCGCGGTTTGTAGTTTAGCGGAGAGCGAACAGGAATATCCATTTCGATGTGGCGAACATAACTGGCGAGGTTACGGTCACGCAGGATGTCGAGGAGGATGGTATATGCATGTTTCAGGTCCGGGGTGCAGGTGATGCGGATACAGCGGTATTTGGTTTTGTTTACGAGGTCGTTGCCTTGAATAAGAGTGAACAGTGAGGGACTGAGGAGAGAAAGGGAGTAGACATCTCCGCTGTGATCGAGAAAGGAGATGACATGCAAGAGCACGTCAGCGGGGAGGATGGAGAGGACTGGCATGATTGTGGGGATTGGATAGGAACAGGTGAGGTTGGAATACACTTGCATTACTCGCCGCGGCTGGAGGGGGGGACTTTCGGCGGCGGCACATTCGGGTGGTCCCACTCGCACATGAGGGGGACGTGCGAGTGAACTGCAATGGTCTAGGCCCGCCTCTTACCATCTCGCCTGTTCTATTTGATTTAATTGAAGTTAATAATCTGGCTTTTCATAACAATTAGATCTAGACCTGTTCTTGTGGGGAAAGCTCATTTGGGATAATATAAAGATGGATATCTAAAGGTTTCGTGGTTCATGCGATTGCTAAATGTCAACCTCTCGATCTAGATTGATTCATTCATCATATAATATAATTACTTCTGTTCCCTTTTCCATCTACATGTCTAGCATTTACGGCAGCTGGTAGGTTATTATATGTGTCAGAGTGTAAATTAGAGAGTAGGTCTGCGGGCGCTTTCGAGACCGCATATACTAGCGTGGTTTTGATTACTAGTCTCACATGACAAGCTCTAACCGGTGGAATCATTAGACCTTCAATATACCAGGATATGAACCCTCTTCGTGGTATGCATGTAACTAAGCAGTGCCCATAGCTGTAGCAAGCGGCGTAATGAGTTAAGGGCTTATCTTTAATATTTTCCTAATTCAGAGAGGAAACATTCCCGCAATTCCAGATAGCTGCCTTTTGAACTGAATGGGTAAAGACTTACCAGATCTTCCATTCACTCGTGATATCTCATCCATTGTTGGTAGACTCCTCCTAAGTTCTCTCTTGAAACGTGACAGACTGTCAAATCGATTTTGTTCGCTAGGAATAAATATCTTAAATAGCTTCTCTGAATAAGTCAAAAAGAAACTAAATCAGTAAGTCATATCATTCAGGATTCTTTGCCATCATCTAGATCGCTGAGAAAAGAGATCGTCCGTGTAATTGACTAGTTAAGAGTATTTCCGCCTTGCAACTCAGCCTTGCACGATCTAGCCATTTACGTACATCCTACCTATAAGCTCTAATTTGGGATATTCAGGTGTTGTATTCTTGTGGAACCATGGAAATTGAATTTTATTAACAAAGCTACGCAAGATTTGCTCTGCTTCACAACGGGTGTCTTCATAGCGATCACACGAGGCTACATCAAGACAGGACCTAACTGACGGATGCTAATATGGAAAGTGAAATGACAGGATATCTTAGCTTATATTTATACTCAGAGTTTTGTTACAATGGACCGCGACGAGACAAACTACAGAATCGCATGAATGTATAATACTAGCGGCTCATTCTTTGATATTCAATGGAGATGCCACCTAAAAGTACCGAAGATAATCAGAGACCTTGAGAGCATGATACTGCGACATCTTCTTGTATTCGCAAAATACCTCCTCTCGTGGATGGACTTCAAGCCAAAGTGCGGGTCTATAATGCCTGGTGCTCCAGGACTGCCCTGTATCGGATACCACCCGCCCTCAGTTCCTCGAATGCCTCTTCAAGGCCATTTTTGGTAAGAGGAAAAGTCACAATAGTTGGTTTGAGATCATGCCGCGCCGCAAACTCCAATAACTCTTGCAGATTGCGCCGCGAAGTGATGAAACATCCCTGAATCCGTATCCCCTTCTGACCGAAGGGAACTAGAGGGATAGGAGTAGGTTCCAGGGTCACAGAAATATGATAGATAACCCCATTTGTATCAACCAAATCAAGTAGGCTGCGACGAACATTAGTCAGACAATTTGAGCATATCTAGATGGTAAATATCATGCTTACGAGGCATAATCAACATTGGAGCTCCCACACAGTAGAAGATGTTTGATGGGTTTAATGCGGACATCCCCCTGAATACGGGGAAAGGGATAAAATTCTGATGCTCCAAATTCTAGCGCTTCTTCACGTTTCCTTTCTGAGCCTGAGAACGCCACCACATTGTATCCAAGTGCCGCAGCAAGCTTGATCGCGAGATGGCCTAGACCACCTATTCCCACGACACCCACACGATCGGACGGGCGGATTCCATTATTAGTCAAAAAAGCCCAGACCGAAGCACCCAGCACATAGAAGTGGTGCTGCATAAGCCGAATCGTATCCATCCGGAATGGGATAGACGGCATCGGCATTCCAGACAGTTCCGTGTCTAAATGATCCAACGTCGAAGTCATGTTGGCCATATGCTCGCTTGTATCTGCAGTGATTGTCACAGCCTTAGGGGTCCCATATGCATTAGTTTCAAGTTTGCATTCACGACAACGTAGAATGATCAACATACCACTAATACAGTTGTCGCATTTCCCACACACACGTCGGATAAAGCCGAATCCAACCCGGTCACCGACCTTTACACTTGTTACGCTGGAACCGATGTGCTTTACCACACCTACTCCCTCATGTCCAAGAGCTTGGTCTCCGTGTAGGAAGTGTTCGTCTGTTCCGCACAGGCCGGAATGGGTGGTCTTTATAAAGACATCATTTTCGCCCAGTCGCCGAGTAGTCACCTTCTCCACAATAGTCCCTTCCGGTGATCCGCACAGGACTTTGAATTTGAATTCCATTGCGGCCTAAAATGTTTTGTTGCTTCGAGAGGGAACAAGATGTCGTTCTTGCGTGTATAAGCTTCTCAAACGGAAGGTGACAGGAGAGCGGGACTTGGAAGGGATCCCGGAGCCAACAATCATGCAATGGATTAGCAATGACAGACCAGTTCTTACTTGCTATATGGACCAAGGCAATGTGGGTTACTTCATTAGAGCCGTGGATTTGTCGCGGTCCCTAATGGCGTCTTCTGGCTTATCCTGGTCAACCGCATATGCTAGTATTTCGATTTGTCTTTTAGGTTCAAGAGAGCAGCGAGAGAGCAGCAAGGGCGCATTTAAATTTAGATTAGATATGGAACTTTGAGTTACAATACCTTCGAGAGTATGAATGCAGATTTTTTGGATGACTAGAGCCGAATGAGATCATGTAGAAGTGTCTAAACTTACACCATGTCGATCGTGTCCCGTAGTTGAGCTTCGATTTCTCTGGTACCCCTAGGTTGCGTACTTCAGTGATCTATGCTCAATATGTTTGTGTTACACCGTTACCATTTGTTAACTCACCTCATCTCACCAGACTAGCGAATCCTCTTGTTCTTACAAATATCGAACGATCGTGTGTTACAATGACTGACTCTCCAGGATAAATATTCAATTGCCTTGTCAAACCAAAGAGAAAAGAACACGTATCCGAACGTGGTTGTCCTGTGACATGGATATTGACGATTAAAATGAGTCAAGCAGTGAGGAGGCCGCACGTATCAAAGGTGCCCTGTATCTTACGTCAGTATTCAGGCATAGTTCACCATCTTTCGGGTCCCCACATTTACGCTCTTACTCAAATCCATCCGAAGACATCAGGATCGGTCGATGGTGCGCCCCGCGAGGGGGCACCCACCTCCGTTCGCTTTCACTGCGCGCACGGGTTTGACACCCGAACACTCGCGTAGATGTTAGACTCCTTGGTCCGTGTTTCAAGACGGGTCGTTTACGACCATTATGCCAGCGTCCGTGCCGAAGCGCGTTCCTCGGTCCAGGCTGGCCGCATTGCACCCCTGGCTATAAGGTACCCCGGAGGGTACTACATACGTCAGTGAGATAACGCGCAAGGATGAAAGGAAATGCCAACCAAGATCAATAATCAGGTGTATTTCTGATTATGTAAAAGGATGCAAGGAGTTCTCATGTGTTGTACCACATATCTTCACGAACCGTGGCGGTGGAGGCGGAGTGAACTGCACCACGTCATAAGGCTTTATGCATGGTGTATAGACGAAAGGCCTTCAGATAAAAGAGATGGAAAAGGGAACATCAAGATTTATTTTTACTCCATAGTCCACGTCGCCTGTTTGAAATTCATGATATTTCCAGGCACATATGATCTATAACAAAAAATAAACTGAGTCAGTATGTTTTCTGTGTCCCGAACGTTGCTACCCCCAATATCCTTTGATGAGTTACTGCTTCACGCTGCATTTTTCACGATAATTCAGGTTTTTAGTATGGGAGGGTGGCCCTGTATGCTAAATGTCCTACTAGCCACTCTCGCCTCCACTTTGGCAATAGCACCCATCGGTCTTCTGGGCTTTCTTCTCCTCGTCTCATTTACTTCGCGTCAAATTAGATGTCTGTCAAAGCACGACCAGACTGTCATAGGGAAGCCTCTCCTTTTTCCTGCCACGCTTGACCATACTCGCCTATCACCAATCAAAAACAAATTCACCTTCAATGTCTTGTTTGTCGGGATACCGATAGGACTCAGCTGCCGATTCGGGCGACTGCTTTCTATTGATGCAGAAGATGTAGATGAGAATAAGTGCAGTGAGAGTTCCACAGTCTTAGCTTGGTTGAGGTCCCTCTTTTCCAGCTGGTTCAGTTTTGACTCGGCAAGATACCTCCACCGTGGAGATGACACAATGAACTTACAGATCAAGTTACATAAATTTTTGAAGGAGCATGTATGCCATCTGATGTTGTGAGGCTGAGAGCTAAGCTGACATGTATTCAGAATGAAGACCCTGACAAATGGCCTTACGCGTATATGCTGAGCGTACCGCGGTTTATGTGGTGGGAACGGAGCGTGGTGACCTGGTGGTATCTATATTCACCAAGCAAGGAATTAGATGCGGTGATTACGGAGATCAACAACTCATTTGATGAAAAAAGAAACGTCTTGTTCAGGGTACAGCGTACCAACACGAATGCTGGAAGCCCATCAGGGGACCATCAACAACCTGTGGACCTTAAGGAGGAGTACTTGGATAAGGGCAGAAGGGTGTGTTCGCTGAACCCACAACATGAACCATACGCCTACAGAGCGACCTGGAAGAAGGAGATTTTTGCCAGTCCATTTGAAAAGGTCGGAGAAACCATGTCTACCACGTTCATGGATCCTGTAACACCGGCATCATGGTCAGGAAATCGGTCTCTCTCAAACATGATCAATCTAGACCCCTCTGGAAGTGCTAGAATGATAGCCAGGCTTAAGTGCAAGGTACCGCCCATCGACCCGAGCCACGCATCGTCTTTCCAGATCTTTCGTCTCCTCTTGACATGGACAGTGAATATCACCTTGACAACACCGAGGATCCTCTTTATAGCCATTCGACTTCACATTATGAACCTTATGAGGATGATGGACCGACCGGATATACGGCCGGGGAGCGAGCCAAGACGGGCCGCTAACGGGGAAAGGCAAGATACATCTTTCAGAATCCTACATGATGTTTTTGGGCTAGTTACTGACCTAATCAATAGGGCGCTCGAACACTTCTTCCGAAAATATCTGAAACACATCGTTGCCTCTAATCCAGGGAACTTGGAAGTCACATACATACCTTGCAAGTCAGTGTCAAAAACCACAACTTGTCTGAGATCTACACAATACTCGGAAGACAACCATCCCATGCAGTTGAAATTCGAGGTTATGGATCCAGCCTTCTATTCCCGAATCGTCAATCTCCGAACGCATGCATTGCTATGGCAAAGGAAACAAAGCCTGGAAGGTCACCTGCTGATGCATTATCCTCCCCTGTCATTGCTTCCGATATACCTCTATTTGTACAGCTATTAGATGTGACCATCAAAGAGATCAGGAATCACGATAAAGCCAGCTTCGGAATGTCGTCACTCATATTCTCTCTTCGTCGTTGGCTGACTCCCTCATTCATGGATTGCTTTGTTTGCAATGTACTCCCGCCCCATATCCAAGAGGACTACATCTCATGTCTAATACAACTATGGGTGGAGAAAGTGACGTGGAACCTTCTGAGTCCTCAACAGATATACAGCGTGATCAGGGCTGCGGTGCTGCAGTGGGTTATTTGCTGGATACTGTTCCGCATGACATGACTGATTCGGTGCTTAGCAATGGAAAGAGGTCCAGAGACGTATCAGGATGAGTGTTGCCTGTTTGATCTTATTTTTCCCACAGCCTAGGAAGTTGGACTTTATACTTTCCGGTGACTATGGAAAGCATTCCTCGATCATCAATGCGACAGACTGGTGAAGATGTCGCAGGAAGCAAGCTAAAGATACCGGGGCCTCTGGTAAGGCAGAATCTGATGCATAAATTCGAATCGACTGTCACGCGTGAGCTCATACAATGTCATGGAAGGGAGGGGCGCGCCGATTTGTTCACTTTAAATGGATATTTTCTTTTCCTGGAAGGAGGCCGACAGTGGAAACGCGCCTCCTACATACAATCCTATGAGAAAGAATCTTTGATGTGAGTAAGGTTACTGCAAAACGTAAACAAGAGAAATATGACTTGGGGTCTTCGCTATAGGTGGCGTTTTCGCTGAAGATTCCGCATTGTTAAATCCCCATTCCCAGGCCAAAGTACAAGTCGACCATTCCAAGCAAGAGGCCTAGTTACATGCATGGATATCTGAGCATAACGCAATTACTATGGAAGCAAGCAGGGTAATACACCCCATGGCTTTTGGAAAGACAGGGTCAGGACTATTATCAGGGTAACCCGCCCAGACAGTCATACAATTTTTCGCACAAAATGAGATCCGTGGGAGAAGCATAGTAACCCAGAATATGTCATACATTGATTTTGTAAGCTCCGAGCCGTAATCGCTGATGGGCAATGCGGCGAGTAGACACGCAGGCACAATGAAGACGGGATATCCGGCTGCAGCACTGGAGAGTTGGAGGTCCGGGATGGCTAGGTTAAGATTGGGAATCAGGCTGATTCGACTCGTAGTTTCAGCTGAGTAAGAATTATACAATGTCTCCAATGTAATGTAAAATACACTCGCTGCTTGAGTCTTGTTCAAGTAAGTCAAATAATGAGTGTGAACTCTCTCTGCATCACACCATGGTGTTGTCGGGGGCTTGAATCTGCGAGGCTGATCAAGAGGAAATTCGCTACAAAGGCTCCGCAGCTATTGACGCAATGTTACCATCTCTTGCATGTAAGGCTAGCTTCAAGCCGCAAATAGTACTTCGGTAATTCCTCAAAGGCAGTTTTAACATGTAAAATGTAGTGAATTGAGACGAATCATAATAAGTCGCGAAATACGGAAGAGGGCCTTACGGGACCCAAGCCAGTGTGATATGACGTCTATATACAGCGTCTTTCGTGATTGAAATGTACACAACCTATGCAGAATCGTTGCTTGGTGCCTAACACGGCGTAGATGATAATAATGAATCATTCCTCATGAACAGCTCTTGTTACAGTACAATTACAGCTCAAATCAGATGATCCCCTTGCCGAAGCTGCATCCTTGCTTCCTTGGCACATATTTTGTATTGTCCGATGGCACACTTGGCGTATTCCTACTTCTGACATAATCCCATCCCCCTTCAGGACACTCTCCCCCAGAAAGGCTCCTATTGGCATATCCTCTACACACAAAGTGCCTCAGCCGATAATATTCTGACAAAGAATTCTATGATCTCCATAAATGTCAGATCAATGCCCTTTTCAAGCGGTACGATATGGCAGCGCAGGTATGCGTTGCTCAGAATACGGGAAGGAGGGATTCTCTGTACCCAAGCTAACCTGGCAATCCTTACGAACTCTGTATCACGAAGCTTCATCCTGTCATACTCTCTTCCCAGATTGCATTTCGCATGGTATGACCAATGGCACTAGACATATCTAGTGCAGAACCGCTCTTCTGCAAATCCATTCTCTACTCCATCTCATTCCTGGAAGCTTTTGTTACCACATAATTCTTCGTTTGTCTTTCACCACAAACTAATGTTAATGGAGAACATTGACAATGAATACTCTTATATATGCCTCTGTATTTGGGATTTTGGTTCTCTATATCGTCAGACTTAGCCACCTCCGAAAGCGAGGTGCACTTCCACTGCCCCCAGGGCCGAAGGGTCTGCCCCTGGTTGGTAATATACACGATCTCCCGCCACATCGGAGTAGAGAATGGGAGCACTGGTCAAAGCATAAAGATATCTACGGTATGTCAACCTCGTACGAGCTTTGTCTCCGTCTATTGAAGCTGAACTACCAGGCCCTATCAGCTCTGTGTCGACGCCGAGAAACACTCTGATCATCATCAATGATGCCAAGGTTGCGATTGAGCTTCTGGAAAAGCGATCGGCGCAATACTCATCCCGACCTCGCATGGTATTTGGCTCTGAATTGTAAGTTCTGAATCGTGATCATTCCACAACCTAGTAAATTGCGCTAATAATGTTCCATTCCGGGATAGGGCGGGATGGGAGCGCATGGTCACAATGAAGCGCAACCCTGTCCATGTTCGGGGACAGCGAAGGCGGATCCACCAATTCCTGGGTTCAGCTAATGCCCTCTCATCGTTCTATACTCAGCAGGATATTGAAGCTCGACGATTTCTTCTTCGGGTTCTCCAATCCCCTGAACGACTCGTGGATCATATTAGAAGGTACATTTAATGCCCACCTAATCCAGTACCACGTAGCTCACAGATTGAATTAGCCAGACAGGAGCTACCATCTTGAAAATTGTCTACGGGTATACCACGCAGCCTCACGGCCGTGATCCTCTTGTTGATCTTGCGGATACATCGACGGAGCAATTTGGAAAAGCACATACGCCAGGGACATGGCTTGTGGATAGTTTCCCTCTATGTATGTACCAGACTCTCAGCACCAACAGAACCTCCTAATCCTCCTCTTAGTGAGATACCTCCCAGAATGGTTTCCTGGGGCCGGATTCCAGACTAAAGCCCGCGAATGGAGATACACATTGGATAAACTGGCTGAACAACCATATCTGTTTGTCCAACAACAAATGAAGAACCGTACGTGCCAGCCATCCTACGTTTTCAAGCACCTCACACAGGCGGGACCCGACATCGATTCGGAGGAAGAAATGGAAATCAAGTGGTCGGCAGCGACACTCTACGGAGCTGGTGTAGATACGGTCAGTACACCGTCATGAAACACTATGAAAAAATAGTTTACATTTAGGGTCTGCTTGACAAATGTAGACGGTATCCGCTTTATCATTTTCCTGGCCATGGCCCTCTTCCCTACCGTCCAGACCAAAGCGCAAAAAGAACTCGACCGCGTTGTAGGGACCAGTCTCCCCACAACAGAAGATCGCACAAACCTACCATATATTAATGCAGTCATCAAAGAAGTCCTCCGGTGGAATCCTGTTACTCCTCTTGGCGTTGTACATGCATGTACGAAGGAAGATGTATATGAAGGATATCGGATTCCAAAGGATGCAACCATCATCCCAAATATATGTTGAGTTGTCTAGTATCTACTATCTTTCTTACCATTCTCATCTGGGGCTCTAGGGCTTTTCTACATGATCCCAAAGTCTACTCAGATCCGATGACATTCAACCCCGAGAGATTTCTGGAGACGGAGACCCATCCCGCAGAAATCGATCCCCATAATCTTGCCTTTGGACTCGGTCGTAGAATATGTCCCGGTCGTGGGTTTGCTGACTCTACCATTTTTTTTACTGTCGTGCGGTCATTGCAGGCTTTCCGGATTGGCAAGCTTGTCAGAGATGGAAGAGAGATCGAACCCGTTGTGGATTATCTGCCAGGGGTGATTAGTCACCCCAAAGCTTTTGAGATTTCTATTACACCAAGGAGTAAAGAGCATGAGTCGTTTATTCGTTCTATTGAGATAGAGCATCCGTGGGAGAAGGGGGATATCGTCATTGTTTGAGATATTCGGTCTTTAATACATATCTTTGTGTTCTTGATTAGACTGTGGCCATCATAAACCTTGTTCCGGAGCTTAGGAGCTTCATCCTAAATGTTGATAGACTGGTAATAATGAAAAGTATTCTTACAACTTTTACCATATACACTTCTTTCTCAGACTGCTGCTTTTTCACAACTGCAAGCTATCCATTTAAGTGCCACCAATCCAAACCTATCAACACCAAAGTTGTCGCAATATAACGTGCCCTGCAAGTAAGCAAAACAGGAAGTTGCGCGTTATCCTAGAAAGGGAAATGGGACTTGCCGCCTTATCATCGTGGATGTATTGTCACCTTTGCAGAAGTTTATGTAGATCTGAATACTTTCCCGTGCAGGTAAAGACCTCCAGCTGAGATACTTCGGGAATGCGAGGGGTTAAAAGCAGCGTGAAACGCAAGGAAGGACGATGACGACATTTTACATAAGAGAAGACAGACTGCATGAGCTGTGTACCTGGGCACTAGATGCCTTAAATGGCATTCTTGCGTGGGGATCTTAGCGGGCACCATTCTTCCAATGAAGAATGGGCAAGGTCAGTGTCTCACCAGATACCCCCAGTATCCCCGATTCAGTTTTTACACTGAATTATTGTTCATCCTAATGGTATCTCACACAGATTACCATGGCTCATCTTCTGCGCGGAACAGCTCTCATCACTGGAGCAGGCTCGGGTAGGACGGCAGCACCACATGAATCTACCAGCGAAGCTGAAATATAAACAGGCATCGGAGCTGGCGTGGCTCATAAATTCATTCAGAACGGAGTATCCAAGCTAGTGTTGGTCGACATTAATTCTTCCAATCTTCAGAACGTCTCCGAGTCGCTGAAACAAACATCTCCTTATGTGGAGCTGCTAACAGCATCTGTGGACGTGACGAACGAAAAACAAGTCAACAATGCGGTCCAGAATGCCGCCACTAAGTTCGGTTGGGTGGATATTGGAGTTAATTGTGCTGGAGTTGGTGACGCAGGAGAGCCCACACATCAATTATCCCTAAGGGACTGGCAGCGCACAGTTGACATTAACCAGACGGGGGTGTGGCTGTCGCAGAGGGCACTTCTTCAGCAGATGCTTACTCAGACGTATGTAATGGTCTCAGCCGTATGGGTAAATGCGCGAGTTCTAATTATGTACAGATCGTGTGGTACTCGACGTGGTCGTGGGGTTATTGTTAACGTCTGCTCCTCGCTAGGCATTACTGCCTCGATTAAGGGTATACCTTTTCCTGCATATATATCTTCGAAACACGGTATGTTTGTCTAGAACATCCATGATATACTTTTGCTCATGGCTTATGCGCATCTATAGGCGTGATGGGACTTACGAAAATGGTTCGAATAACTATCCAATCTTAATCAGATTCACCTCAGCTGATTATTGCCATAGGATGCCAAGTACTACGCCCGGAGTGGAATCCACATAAATGCCGTTTGTCCAGGGTATGTCAATTCTCTCCTTACTGCTTTCATTGCAGTTCCCTGAAGAGTATACAGATTTGTGAATACGCCAATGATATCGGATGCAGTAGACTCGGGGGTCTTTAAGGAAGAAGTCGAGAGTACACCAATAGGGAGAGTAGCCGATGTGGAGGAGATCACAGACTCGATTTCATTCCTGGCCTCGCCGATGAGCAGCTATGTCTATGGAGCAGGCTTGATTGTTGATGGAGGATATGGACTTTAATCGAATAATATGCAAGACCGAGCTGACATTTGTGGCGCATTGGCCTCTCCATCACGTCTAAGACTTTGTTTCTGCGCCTCGTGATTCTAGCTACTCATTTCATCACCATTAATTGTAAGATAATGACATCTTGCTGGCTCATTGCTATGCTCGTTAACACCTGAATCTTCTCTTGGCGAACATCATGGATCACAGTCCCGCTAGTCCGAATTATAATAGTACCAGTTAAATATATCTTTTAACTAACAAGTAGTATGTCCCCAATCCTGCAATCCTGCCTTGGAACACCATATAGCCCAGAACGGCCCAAATCACACACCCACCAATAATAAACCCCGATTTCAATTCTTCACCAGCCAGCCCTTGTCCCTCAACGGCCGTGCGTCAAGTGACAGACGCCCCGTCACTGCACTAATGCATCTGAGCGGGCCGTCAGACGGCATAACTGTCTTGCTGGAGGGGAGGTCATGCATGGGCGTTTTAGTGACACCAAACTGTAGCCATCCAACAACTAGCGTGACGATATTGCTCCTACCATTGTCGATATTAGACTTCCCCACTACCATAATAGGTCTTTCTCAACCCGCCCGAAGCACAAACTAATGCAAGGCTGTCATTGCAACGTAACCGAGACTCTTACAACCCCCTCATGGGTCGAGTAGTGTTGATAGAATATCCTTGCTCGTGTCATCAGAGAGGGGAAGAGTCTACTTAGCACCAGTATATAAGAATAGTAACACCTTATAAGCACATCCCCTCCCCCACTCAAGCCCAACTCTAACTCCCCAACCTATACATCCATCCATACCACCACAATGCCCACCATCCTCCTCACCCTCCTCGCCCTCTTCACCCTCCGCCTCCTCTACGAATACAAACGCGACCGCAACCTCCCCCCCGGCCCACGCCGACTCCCCCTAATCGGCAACCTACACCAAGCCCCTCAAACGCTCCCATGGCGAGTCTTCGACCAATGGAGCAAAACCTACGGGCCTATCATGTCGGCCCAATTCGGGCGCCAAACCCTCATTTTGATAACCTCACCCACCATCGCACGCGATCTTCTCGACAAACGCGGCAGCATCTACGCCGATCGCCCAGATCTCGTCATGGCGAATAACATCACCAAGGGCCTGCACATGCTCATCCGGCAATACGATGACTGGTTACGACTTCACCAGCGACTGGATGCTCCGTTGCTTAGTCCCCGCGCGTCGAATACATACCACCCCATACAGGATCTGGAGAGTAAGCAGCTCATGTTCGACTTGCTGCGGTCGAATGACTTCGACGCGCATTTTGAGAGATATAGTGGGAGTTTGATGTTCGCGTTGGCGTACGGGTTCCGACTTCTCTCGCCAAAGGGGCAGGAGTTGCGCGATATGCGGACCATTCAGGGGAATTTTACCTATGCGGCGAGAGTGGGCACGTGGATTGTGGATGCGATTCCGGTGTTGAATTACTTGCCGGCGGTGGTGGCGCCGTGGAAGAGGCTGGCGGAGAAGTTGTTTCGGCTGGAGGCGAGTGTGCATACAAGACATCTGGAGAAGGGGTTGAGGAGTGAGGCGTGGAATTGGTCAAAGGAGTTCTCCGCGTCGAAGCATGCGGAGGGGATGCCGCGGATGGATTTGGCGTATAATTTGGGGATTTTGGTGGATGCGGGGTTTGAGACGACGTGGGCAGTGATGAAGATCTTTGTGTTGGCGATTCGGACGGATCCGCGGTTTGTGGCGGTCGCAAGGAAGGAGTTGGGTGAGGTGGTGGGTGAGGATAGGATGCCGACGTTTGAGGATCAGGAGAAGTTGGTGTATGTGCAGGCGGTGGTGGATGAGACGTTGCGGTGGAGGTCGATGGCTCCGGGCGGGATACCGCATGCTGCGAGGAAGGAGGATACTTACATGGGATATCGGATTCCGAAGGGAGCGACGGTGATTCCGTTGTTCTGGTCGATGTGTTTGACTGATGAGCCGTGGGATGATCCGCTGGAGTTTCGGCCGGAGAGGTGGTTCGAGGCGACTGGGAAGGAGGATGGTCGGTTTCGCAATTTCTTTGGATATGGGCGGCGGATATGCACGGGTCGGCACATTGCGAGGAATTCGTTGTTTCTACTAATGGCTAGGATTCTTTGGGCGTTTGATATTCAGGCGCCGCTGGGAGATGATGGGAAACCAGTCCCGGTGGATGATATGGCGTTTGATTCGGCTTTTGTCTCGACACCGGAACCGTTTGAGGCGCTGTTTGTGCCGCACAGTGAGAAGGCCAAGGCGATCGTAGAGCAGGAGTGGAATGAGACGGAGAAGGACATGGCGGTGTTGATGGATAAGGTGCGGGAGAGCCAGCGGGCGCTTGGGCTGGATATTAGGGCGTGAATAAGGGGATTCGGCCAAGGAAATAGTATAGCATTAGGTATATGGTATTAATTATGTACGATGAAGATGTAGCCTCTATGCAACATAGTATGTATGTGTAGCAGTTATCGATCCAGCAGTCCGATCCGTTTGGCCACCCAGGCGAATATTACAGTCAGTCCGAGGATGAAACCTAGAATGCTGAACCACCAGGTGAGTGAGTTGTCCCCATCATGCGTCTTCCCTGGCACTCTGACATTCATTCCGAATAAACCCGTGATGAACTGCATCGGCACGAGAATAGATGCAAGAACTGTTAGCTTACTGAGTGCCGATGCAATACCATTGCGCATGCGTCCGGAATCGAAGTGAACCTGGGTGAGGTACTTCGACTGCAACCGCGAGAGCATCTGCTCGGCCTGCTCAAGGTTGGCAATCATGGTAACGACGTGATCGCAGATGTCGCTAAGGTACAGGGCAACCTGCGATGACGAGGTGTCGGAGATATCGCAGTGCCGCGCAAAGGACCGGATGACGTCGATCTTATCGTGCAGCGGCTGACGAATGTTCATGACCTCCTTGCGCAGTTTGAAGATACGCTGCAAGGCTAGTCCCATGTCGTCCGGTCGAGTGATGGAGACGGAGTCTTCCACCGTTACAACACCAGTCTCGACACGACTGATGAACGGGGCAAAGCCATCAACAATGTCATCGCTGTCAAGCGTCAGTAAACATCACCGTAACAGAGGTAAAGTAGTGGTGGCTTACATCAGGGCATAGCAAATCCAATCGCTGGTCAACAGCAGATGACTGCTGTGCTCCTTGATACGCTGTCGCACATGGCTAGTGTGCAGACTGGGGTCGAAACTGAAGCTGAGAACGCCGCCCCGGAACACCACGGCGTAGAGGTTGTGCGAGACAATGCGTACCCCAGTGTCCGTCTCAAATCGGCGCGGCGGTCGCAAAGAGAGAAAGTAGTAGTGACCGAAAAGTTCGATCTTCTCTCTGGTTTCGCGGGTTTTAATATCCTCCGTAGTCAGGGGGTGGAGGTTGAAGAATCGCGCTAAAGCTTCAATATCTTCTTCCGCTGGAGCCGTGATATCAAGCCACCATAGGCCATTGTGGGCCCCTGTCTCCAGGAGGAGGTCAAAGGGCTTATACACAGAGCACAAGTCCTCGATACTGGAGGCCTCGATCGAGGTATTTAGCTGGGAGGTGAAGAAGTTGATGCGACTGACCGCTGCCGGCCGGGGCTTCTCCAGCCGGGGGTCGGGGGTCGAATCAGATGACATGATTGCAGCCAGCGGGGCGGGCTCCATCCCTGGGCGGGGAAGGCCGGATTGAAGATTATGGGCACAGCTGGAATGGAGAAGACATCAACAGGGATTCCAAGGGGGAAGCGCAGCGCATCCTGACGATTTGTGTGTGCGATGGATGAAGCCCGATGATGCGATGAAAGACAGGGAGAGAAGAAAAGTCGAGCCGGAGCCGTGGCGGTGCACCTGCCATCCCGCCTGTGGGCCAATCAGAACGGGATCAGGCCATCCACGTGTTACCGCCCGGTCAGTCTTTCTAGAAAGTTGATCAACACCTTGACACTTCACAGTCCATCTCTTTGATCTATCAACTGTGCAAGTATCATCTAAAAATAACCGAGGCTCTAGAGGTCCTTCCTCGCCCTCTCAGATGCTGACCAATCAGAGCGGCGAATCGTCATCTCCTCCGCATTGCCGCATTCGGTATAAACAGCACGTGACAAGCAGCTGAACAGGAAATCATTTAAACGAACTGGTGATGTCAAGTGAGTCTACTAGACTATGGCCTATGTCTAGTAGAAATGCTCTCTGTCCATGTACTCTTGAAATTTCCATTTCCCGAGCATGATGAATGCAAAGTTATTTTCCCATTATACCTAACTCGTAGATGTCGACGTCATTGCCAGAGCGACGCTCGTTACCAGTCAGCTAATCCATATTATCGTGATCAATGCCCATGTTCCGTCCCTATTCATATACAACGCCAAACCTGAACGCCACAATGAGATATATCAACTTAGGATTTCATCGTGGTCTGGCCGCAGGCCCCACCCAGCCAATACCGCGTCAGCAGCTGCACAGCATCTGTGTTCTTCCGCGTGAAATCATACAACTTCGAAGCACGGACATTAAGCATCGTTCCATCAAAATCGGCCTCTAGGACACGGGCATGACGGGGGCCCATGAGCGAGAGCACCAACGTCTACCAAAGTATGATTAGTAGACGTCTTGGATGGGATCCGTCGGGGGAAGACTGTACCGGAGCAACGATGTGCGGCCGCAGCGTCTTGGACCTTAGACGACCCCTCATAATATCGGTGATCGTCATGATTTCTCCACGAAGCAGACGATTGTCACCAATTACCTCATTTTCCACGATGGCCTTCATATGGGGATAGTTTTGCTCAGGATAATCAGTCACTGATACAGCATACCAATTGAAACCAAAACACTCCAAGAGTTGGCCGAACCTGAAATCCCCAATCCTATAATGGAAAAACAGTGAGAAAACTAGTTTGGAAGCAGGATTTACAAGAAGCGGCTTACTCGCGATACACGCCAAAGGGAGGGTTGTTCGGATACTCGCGCAATGCAAAGGATCTGCAGTCCTGAAAGTGGTAAAACAGAAAGACCTCCAATGCACGAGTGTCCCACATGATATGTTGGAACGTCTACTTGTAGGAAGTAAAGAAAGGGCAGAGAGTTGTTTTTGTGTGTTGTGTTCCTATCTAGGGGTTGCGCAGCGAGGGTAGAAGTAGGGGTTGTTTAGTATGTAGGGGTCACGTGACTGAGGCTACTAGTATTACTGCTTCAATACAGCTCCCTAGACAAGGAAGTGTTGAATAAGGTGTTAAAATCATATTTCTTTTCTAGATAGGTAATTTTTTATATCTCAAACATTGTTTTCGGGATGCGCGGCGGTGGTACTGGTAGTAAAAAGAAAGATTATCTGTAGAAGGTATTTAAATATATAGAATAATTCCTGATCCAGTGATTTGGTAAAACTATTAGCAGGATTAGCTATACCAGCAATATATTAGATTAATATAATATTTGTTTTGATTAGATCTGCTATAAACAGATAACAGTTATTAAGCTACCTGGTTAACTTCATGTAACTGTTATAGTTCAGTATTTTTAGTAAGTTAGCAGCGTCGCTGAATAAGGATATTTTACTGTTATTAGATATCTTAAGATTAAATATCTGTACTAGTTTCTTGATGTATAGGGTGTCTTTAGCAGCGGAATTAAATATATAGTATTTTGTAATAATAGATGAAGATATAATAATATTTTATTTAGTAGATGCCCAGGCGATTGGGCCACCTGTATAAAAGATAATATATTCTTTAGTAGACTTGCTGTTCTTGTAATCAGTATATATAGTATTTATATAAATTTTAATATCTTTAGTATAGTCTGCGGCCAGGGTGATGCTGTAGAAGATAAAGTTATATAAATATCTGTATACAGTCTTCAAGGCCTTTATATCTGCTGTAATAGTCTTATTTATATGTTTTTGTAGGCAGAAGGTAGCGTGGTGTAAATCAGGATATATTTTAGTAGTTAATTAATTTAAATGATTAACTAGTCTCTGATATTCATTGATATTGATATTATCTGTAGTTATTTTTAAGTAATCTATTTTCTTATAGGCAGGGGCTATTAAAGTAGCAGTGCTAGTATAGGATTATAAATCTATTATAGCAAGGTACTTTTCTATGTAGATAGACTATAATAGTAAGATTATATTTACTTGGTAGTTATATAGGATATTATATCTGAGCAGGATTTTTAATTTATCTAATTCTTTAAGACTAAATATCTTATCAAGATAATGTTTTACTGATATTAGATCCTCCTGCTTGGAACTAGTAATAGCAGAGTTATTAATATAAATTATAAGTTAGATCTTTCTATTTCTGTAGACACAGGGGTCTTCTGGTAGAGATTTAAATCTAATTTCTTATAATTTATTATTAAATGTATGATGCCAGAGGTGGGCCGCTTAGTAAAGTTTATATAAGGCTTTTTTTAGAAGATATACTTGTTCAAGTAGTCCCTCATGGTATCCTGTTAGTTATTTTATATAGATATACTTTTCTTTAATTAGAGTATATAGATAGGCAGATATAATATTACACTGCTTCCAGTGGAGGTGCTTTACTGTTATACTTATTATAAATATTTTAAGTATGATTTTACTGGCCACGGGGGTAAAGAACTTGTTATAATTAATATCCGGTATCTGGTAATTACTATAAATAACCCAGTGAGTATGGAATTATATAATAATACCTTCAGTATTAACTTTTAGATTAAATATTTATTTGTCTGAGATTATTTTAGTGCCAGCAGGCCGGTCAATAATCTTATAGGTTTTTATTAATTTAAGTATATTAATTTATGTGGTTATAGCCGCTTTCTAGTATAAAGTAAGCGGGGATATAATTGCTTTAGTATAGATATTTAATACAGTAACTTTGTGTTATTTTAATATAGATAAGACAGATAGATCAGATTCCTGCTCTAGCACGGCTACTTACTTGTTTCTAATCTATATAAGATCTTTATCTTTTATAATATGTTAGAATTGTCTCGGAGTATTAGTAGTAGTAGTATTAGAATACTCAGGTTTAGTAAAGCAGTAATCTTGATAGATATGTTTTATTAATATTTTATATTCTGTAGGATTCTCAATTAAGAGAATTAGAGTAGTAGAAATATTTCTGATAATACTTTCTATAAGTTCAGTAAAGATAGATAAGGTCTGTATTCTTTTATATATAAACTTGTTAATAGTATTATCTGGGACAGGAAGGATCTTGGTAATATTAATCTTTATATTATCTGGTTAATGCAGGAAGATATTATCAAAGTTAAGTAAGATACCTGATCCCGGTATAATCAGATCTTTAAAGATAGGTGCTTTAGCTACTCTACCAGAGTCTTCATGGTTATCTTTATATATGTAATCTTTGTAGAAGATAATATTTCTTAATTTTTTAATTTTATCTGAGGCAGGATACCACACTAGATATATATGGTTATTATTATTATTAAAATTAATAAAGTAGCCAGTTTCTGTGTGAGGTGACATCTTCCTGGAGATAATACAGTTCTTTTTAGATATATACTGGTAGCAGCGGTATCTAAATATATATAAGAAGTCTAGGGAGGTATCAGAATTAGAGAGATTATAATATAATCTGTATAGCTGAACAGGTGTTTGTTTAGCTTTATTTTCTATAAGGACTAGTTAATTTAGGATCTGCGCTGCTAGATATATAGTATATAGCTAAAGATAAGAAAATAAGCCAGAATCAAGTAATATAATTCTATTTATTTAGTTAAGCAAGCCTTCATATTATTTAGAGAGACTGTTTACTTCAGGTATTTATAGTGGTAATATGATAACTTGAATATCTTGATCTTTATAGTTTATCCATTTCTTAAATTTATTAAATTTATGGTCCCTATCTAGGTGCCAGCAAGCGACGTATTTACTGACTATATTCTTGTATTTATTATTTATTTGAATCAGCTCTGTAGAGGTATTATTCTTCTGCTTTAATATAATAATATATATTAAATAGATAATATTATTAATTATAATTATAAAGTATTAGAATCCTCCATGATTTATTAGAATCATCTTCTGTATATTTATATACTATAGTTAGATAGGGTCAGTAGTCCATGGGATTAGATGTTTTAATACTAGATACTTTATTTTATCTAGAGAATATGTCTCATAGTGGAGGTTGTTCCTATATTTAAGTTTAATTTATTGATTTTTTGCAGCGGAGGTAACTCTGCAAAATTCTATATATCTGTAGTACTGGTACAGCAGAAAAAGATCTACTACAGTGAAGATTATTTCTGTATTCTCTGTATGTATAAAAAGTATATTTTTGTATATTTACAGATAGCTGACTACTTTATCATCCTGCTTCCTGTATAGGATCAGATCTTTTATAGTAATATATATTTTGAAGTTCTTGTGCAGGCAGTCCGCTGAAAGAAGTCCATAGACAAGGTCTGGCTGGTAATATGCTTTGATATTTAATTTAATACTTTTATTATTTATAGATAGAAATAGGAATTAATAGCCTGCTGATTTTGTAACACTAATACTGTTATTAAAGATACTGTATTTATAAAAGTTATAATTATTTAAGTCCTAGTAGTTATTTAGTAAGATATAGTCAGGGGTCAGGTGCTGTGAGCTGCCAGTATTATAAATTTAATATAGGGACTTGCTAGTGGTGTTTCTAACTATTAGATTATTAAAATTTAAAATATATAAATTTTTATTATTTAAATCTATCTTATGTAGGATAATATGCTGAGCAGATATCTCAGTAATTTATTTTATAGATAATATTACTATAGCTATTTTAAAATCATTTTTTTCTTTATTAACTCTTTTCCTGAAGAACCAGATATTTTTTATATAGAGAATCTACCCTGCCAGACATGAGGTTGAGTCAATATACTAATACTTTAATAAGCTGTGGTCTTTTAATCTGCAGTACATACAGGTATTATTAATATATTCTAGCTTTATATTATGTATCTTTGCAGCATGGTCTTCAGGGAGAATATCTTTTTCTGGATAGGTAGCTGTCTTCTACTATTCTTTAGTAATATCAGGCTTATTTAATGGGTTTTTACTTTTATTTCTGCTGATAATAATAATATTAATTTTATTTAATTTATATCTTTTACTTTCTTTAATAGCACTCCTGTAAAGCTCTTTAAATTATACTTCAGTATAGATTTTTCCTGTATTTTCTGGGATCATGTATTCCTGTATTGACATCTAGATAAAGAAGTTTATTTATAGTTTATATAATAGTTTAAGGCTTACTAGATATAGTGATAGCAGGCATTCTAGCTTACTTATAAGATTATAAATATTACTAAAATTATTAATAAATTAATATGCAGTAGAGTAATCAGAACACGTAATTCTTATTAATCTAATAATAATAGTTTGGTACTCTATTATACTATAGTCCAGTATAATGCTTCTCATAACTTTGTATATATTATTAATATAATTCTTTTCTTTTTTAAATTTTCTGAACTTCTTTTTTATTTTTTCTGACAGCTGGCCAGCCAGCTAGGACTATATAATTTATAAATAATTATACTATTCTTCATAGTTTTTATGATTCTTATTTAGTTTTGAAAGCTTCAGGTCAACTAGATCCTCTAATCTAATATTTTTTAATATCTGCTTCAGCTTAAAGTCCCAGTTGTAGAAATTAAAGTAGTTATATAGTAGAAGAAGTAATCCTGACACAGTTTTAACAGTAATTCTAGATAATTAATTTGCCTGTGTAGCTGCTTCCTTGGTCTCTTTATTATATAATAAATCTTTGATATTAATACTACTTCCTACTTGGAATGCCATCTTGGCTAATTTTATGGCTGGTGGCCCGTAAAGAAAGTAATTTAATATTATATAATATAATTTTAATATCACCAAGACTGGTGTGTTCCTGTTTACTACTACCACAATAGCCATAGATTCTCTGTCTCATTTAGTGTCAATAATCCCGTTTAACAGTTCTAAATAGCTTCACGGTAGAAAGGGCCAGACTTATAATCTGTTAAAATATTTACTTGTAGGAAGTAAAGAAAGGGCAGAGAGTTGTTTTTATATATTATATTCCTATCTAGGGATTGCGCAGCGAGGGTAGAAGTAGGGGTTGTTTAGTATGTAGGGGTCATGTGACCGAGGCTACTAGTATTACTGCTTCAACATGATATGATCTGGGTTTAGCTGGTATTTGAGGAACGCATCTTCTTCGGTTGGGAGGGGGAGGTTTTCTTCATAGGCTTTGAAAAAACATGGCCCGTCTCTGCCCCCCTCCAGGGACAAAGGGAGATGGCGGATACCAGCCGCCTTCAGATCGCTTGGTTCAACCTGCATATTAGGGGTTTGCTTGATGTGTTCCTCAATCTTGGCCAAAGCATGTCGACGAGTTTGTCGTTCAAGAAGAAGCTACTGATCAGACATGATGACTGAATAATGAGAGGTGATGGTGAGACGGAAAGGAAGGGAACCAAGATGGTAGATGAAATGGGCGGAGAGGGAACGCAACTTTAAAAACGGGCAAGTAAACTTGCGGGACTGGGTGGAGACAGTTGATGCCTGAGGCATACACACCCTGTTGGGCAAGTTGCCCCGGAACCCGGGAAAAAGTCCCGTCCCAGTGGCTGCAGCTACGCGCCAGGAATAATGAAGTCCAGACAAGAGCTGGCAAATCCATTCATTTCGGATTCCATTGGATACATTCATTCCATGCGAGCGCTTGTACTACTATGGAGGCGCATTTGGGGGCTGGTGGTGAGAAGGTCGGAGAACATCAAACTGCACTGATTCTGATAAACTCTCCAGAGCCCGTAAGGCTGCTACATATTTATAAAGAGTCGATGTACTCGCAGGGTTTCACATCCTGATAACTACTATTAAGTACTAATACTTGTAGAGAGATTTCAGTTTGCGTGGTTCCCCAACGAATCTTGTCTGATAGTACGCAACGTAGGGTACATCCTAAAACGGCTCAATGATCTAGCTCGTACCTACGTCTCTAATCCGCCCAATTTTTCTGGTCCCGTAGTGATTGGCAAGATCATTGCTTCGTGCATGTCTTTCATTCGTTTCTATAAATACTAAATTAATATCTAGTGATAGTCGTGATTGACTGGCCAGTTGCCTGAAAGTCATGTCTAATCATGGCACCCCACCTCTCTGGTACGCGTGCCCTGTCCTATGGGGTATGATCCGGGGCGTTTAGCCTACGTCTACCGCCAATTGCTCGGAGGACCAACATGGTCTTGGCCTACATCGGGGTCTAGATCACAATCAAATAGCGACAGCGGCAACCAGAAGCGGTCATAGCACCTTCTGCACTGGTAACCATGCACTCACTGAACCCATCCACCCCCACCACGGCGATAACTAGGCGCTCTACCTTCTAGCCGCCCTATTCTCCGTCCTTCACTGGGTATCTTGCTCAGGCCCCAGCTAGGACGTTTCAGCGCTACTCAAGAGGAACATGGCAAATGGCTATCTCGCAAGAATGGGCGCGTAGTTGCGAACGCACGCTCGTTGGAATCAGCTGAGCGCACTTGTGATCTTGCCGTGTAAGTGAGGGCGGATGTGACAGCTGGTAGTCTCATCGGGTTCCCATCACCAAGATTACTTCACTACACAGCAGTCATGGCTACTATGCGCACCCTTCCCCACAGCGAGGCTAGTTGGAATGAATGGGCTGCTGTGTGCAAGGTCTCAAAACCGAGTATCCATGACTCTACGCTCACATCTGGATCTACAATTCGCCATGAGCAATTCCTGTTATTACAAGTTCTTTGGAGGCCTCCCTCCACTGCACCTCTGAACCTGAAGGTGTTTGGCCTAGAGCAGTGGAAACAGAAGGCTGATAAGCTTCTGTCAACCTTCCAGTCCTGGGCTAGGTACCGCCAAAGCTTCACCACTGGCTCCATCCTCGAGGGAACTTTTGCTTTAGCCAAACAGTACCAGTCTGAAGCTGCAGGAGCCCTTGAGAAAAATTTCCGATCTGATATGGCCTTCACCCCTATCGCCCATCGCACACGCAGCAATGTGAGCAGATTAGAGCGCAAGATGAGAGATGCACAGCTTCAGACCCCAACCAAATCAACGGGAATATTGCCAAAAACACCGGAAGAAAATGACATTGCCGAGAATAGTGAAGAGACACACACACACCCTTCCGCTCTGCAGGACCAGCTGAGATAACGAATACGATGTATCCACAAACGAAAGACGAGCAAATTGTGAACACCGCCCTTGTGGACTTTTTGAATGCTCTGACCGTGCATTTTCCTGAGGCCAGTGGCTGGACCTTGCACCGCAAGTCCTTCAAGGCAGAGTTCACTAATGGATCGTATGAGGCACGAACGGATGGCTATCTAAAGGGGGGCTCTGGTGGAAGAGCACGGGCATTGATCGAAGTAAAGCCAATGTTGAGAGAAAAGAAGCGGATCCCCATTTGTATGCAAGAGGCTGCTCAGATGGTCGCTTGGATCAAATCAGACCCTGATCCTACTGGTGTCCTGAATTTGCCGGGTCGGTAAGTGTCTAGCTTCTTCTTCGATTGCCATTTCTGTCGCTAACCACCGTAGTCGTCTTCACGTGTCACAAGACCGTCATCTGATTTACCTTATCTTCGCAGAGTATGATGATAAGTATATTCAGCATCTCAATAATTCATTGCCACCTGGATCACCACGCCCGTTTCTCAAGATGCATGGATTTGGTCCCTGGAATACATTGAATCGAAGCGACATGGAGAACCTTGGCGGAATTCTTCTTGCGATCGCCTTAGCGTGGCTATGCAGAGGCCAAACCGAGTACTTGAAACGAGAAGGACTGGCCGAGACCTGGAACAATAGCTTGTGAACACTGGGAGCACTCAAAGCTGTCTTTATCATGTTACAATGTCTTATCAATCTTGACAATGGTTACCAACGTGGTGACTGTGAGATTGAAGACGATATCCCATCAAGGCTCCGAACGCGTCCAATCAGATGTGCCTGACGTTGTCATGCTAATGGGAGAACGGCCACCTGCTGGGCAGTAACGTCGTTCACCTACACTTCCTAAGGCTTGAAGCCCAACGTGGTTATTCCCTTCTCTTTCTTCCTTTCTTATCTGTTTCTCCCCACCTGTACTCGATATCATTGTGTTGTATCCGGAACAGGACATTGCCGTACACTGCACCATTATTATGCCGCTTCCAAGCTTTAGCAATCTATCTTACATCTTTCTTAACAATTAAACACTCATACACCTCTACCGCACTACCGGGACAATACATTTCCCATTTCAATGTAGACCAGCGGGGTAAACCCCACTAAACACACTAATCGTAGTGCAGACCCTCGTGCTCTAGCAGTCCACGGGATAGATTCCGAGCGGCGGAGATACCGCCGGAACAGATTCCATGTCCATGCCCGCACACCCCACCGGCAAAACACATTATGTAACTGGGTAAGCGCTTCTCCGGCCCTCCCACGCCACCCCAATTACCCAGCACAATGTCACAAGTTGCCCCAGAGCAACAGCCGCATTACTATGCAGCGTCATATGCATCCAGATCCACTCCCCGGTCAGGGACTGCATTTACCCCAGACCAAACCAGACCAGACCCACTGCAGAATCCCAACTTGACTCACCGATATAAAAACACCCTTTTCACCGGCACAAAACCCATCATTCTTCACGCAATTACACCCAGAAGCCTGTAAATACCATGATTAACATTATCATCGTCGGCGCCGGCCTCATCGGCCCCCGCCACGCCCAATCCGTCATCAACAACCCCTCCACCAATCTTCTTGCCTTGGTCGACCCCTCTCCAAGCGCTTCATCCGTGGCTAAAACCCTCAACACGCTTTACTTCCCCTCTTTATCAGCCCTCCTCTCTTCTGTACCCGACATCCCGCACCCAGACGCCGCCATTATCTGCACCCCCAACCACACGCACGTCCCCGTGGCTCTCGAACTCATCAGCCACAACATCCACATCCTACTCGAGAAGCCCATCAGCGATACCATCACCACCGCGCTTCCTTTACTCCAAGCGCACCAGAAGCACCCAGACGTGAAGATCCTCATCGGCCATCATCGGAGATTCAACCCCTACATCACCAAAACAAAGGAAATTCTCGAGTCCGGATCTCTGGGCTCCATCCTCGCTCTATCAGGCCTATGGACTCTCCACAAGCCAACATCCTACTTCACCGGCGCTACCTCATGGAGAAGCGACAAGACCAAAGGCGGCGTATTAAGCATTAACCTCATCCATGACGTGGATCTCCTGCACTATCTATTCGGTCCTATCACGCGCGTCTACGCAGAGAAAACCCTGCCGCAGCGCGGAGGTCCAGATGGTAATGCAGACCACACGGCGGAAGAAGGCGCCGTGATTACTTTCCGCTTTGCCAGTGGAGTGGTTGGTACCTTCGTGGTGAGTGATTGTACGCCGTCGCCGTGGAATTTCGAGGCCGGGACGGGTGAGAATCCCCTTATTCCGAAGGTGGGTGGTGAGGGAGGAGGATTTTACCGGGTTTTGGGTAGTCGGGGGTCGTTGAGTGTGCCGGATTTGAAGAGGTGGAATTATGATGGGGTTGAGGGGGAGAAGGGGTGGAGTCAGAAGTTGCAAGTGGAGGAGTTTGAGGTTGATGAGGGAGTGCCGTTTGATTTGCAATTGGAGCATTTTGTGCAAGTGCTGGAGGGGAGGGAGGCGCCGAGGTGTGATGCTGTGGAGGGATTGCGGGCGTTGGTGGTGGTTGATGCTGTCAAGAGGGCGATGGAGAGGGAGGAGGCAGTTAAGGTGGAGAGTGTGGAGGAGATTTTGGCTAGGAGTGAGTAGTCAAGGGGGGATGTGAGGTGGAAAGTAGAGACGTGTTAGCCTTACTGATAGTGCGGTATTAAATTAAACAATATTAATCTCTACTTATTCGAAACACTCTGCTCAAAACTCGAATGCACCATGATCGACTGATCAGCCGCACTCGCCCCCTCCCTTTCCACCGACTCCATCGAGTGCGGCTTCCTTAAACTCGTAGTTGTGGTAACATGATTCGTAAGTCCGATCTCTTCATCATCCTGCCCATCAAACATATACTTGGTCGACAGGACACTGTGCACGCGTCGACCCGCTGAAGGCGTGCCACCCCCATTGGCGGTGCCGCTCCGAGACCGCCATGGCGTACTCGGGTTAGTTGGTCGACTGCGCTTGCTATCCTGGCTCGAGGAGAGCTTGATATGTGCTAACCGGACCAATGGGGCGAGATGAGGCAAGCAAGCGCAGACGATGGAGAGCCCTGGTTCGATGGTCGACCAGATGAAGACCGGACCGAGGGTCCAGGTGACGTCGTTGCGTTTGGTGAATTCGTCGACGGAGTAGATGCGGACGATGCTGGCGACGCACGCACTGCAAACCAAAGTTAGTCCTAGTGCAACCGTGTATGGAAGGGAATGAAGGGGCGGAGACTTACAAACTGCCTACGGCCAAGATACCGCTTATAGCGACCTTCTTGCGACGATTCATCTGCAATTTAGCGATCTGCGGGAAAGGAATCAACAAGACGACGATATCGTTGAGCATGTTGATTATCCCCAGCGCTAAGAAGAAGGTATCGGTGTCAATGCATGTGCCACTTGCACCCCCAAACTGTTCCCAAAAGTAAGAGGCAGGTTTACATGCCGTGGCCATTGTGACGCAGATGATGATCGGGTAGGATAGAGTGAGGAAGAAGCCGAGGTAGATGCCGATGCGCAAGGAGAGGTCCGCGTGGGAGGCCATGAAGACGCGGCGGTAGAAGAAGAGGATCGAGACTTTGGAGGCGGCGCATACGGCGGAATATATCATGACGTAGATGTAGAGGATCTGAAATGTCAGTGCGCGGGCTACAGTGCTATGCGTGGTGCTGCTAACCTTGAATAGTGTCATCAGCTTGGTGACGCTGATAGCCCAGACATGTTTGCCGGCACCGAAGAAGCCTCCTGTTCTCGTTAGTCTCAATTGTTGTAAAGCAAAAGCTTGCAGTAGCTAAGTAGACCTTACCGGAGATACTCAGACCAGATGTAGTGCAGATAAACACCTATACAAAATATAATTAGCTTACCCTTCCCGAAACGATCTCATGTAGGATACAAGTCACCGCACCAATGCAAGAATAATGACCCAATCATCCGTCATGAGAGAATTGCGCAAAACATGCCGAGCAAAAAAGCGCAAGACAACCGAAATGACAGCCAAACAGAGAATAAAAATCACGACCGCATTATCCTGCTGAACCCTACTATCCGTCAAATCAATATCATCCGGAGGCTCGCCGAATACAGCGACAATGGCAGGATCCACGGCCATAATGGTCCGCTGACCGCAACAACAAAACAACAGCAGCGACAAGAAAAACTCACGAACAGGTTCATTAAACCAGAAAGCAGTGGTATAAAGGCGACCAAGAATGGCCCCTACGGACGGCTGAGCATCCTGGCAGCGGGAATGGCGCATCCTAAGATCGGCCGACTAGCTTGGGGGCCAGACATACAACCCAATCAATACAGGCACGGAGATGAAACCCGTTCCAAGCGGATATTAAGACAAGCCACCATCTCTTTAGCTCAACGCTGATAGCAGCCACACGGACCGACATTTAGTCGCCGGCGTGGGGCCCCAAAGGCACACGACCGGGGGCGGATTCCTTCGTGTGCCCTTAGCCTCAACCGATACTCCAAGCGAACAGGCGATGCAGTAGTATCGAGCCGGAGGATGGTTGCCAGTTACTGAAAAGGGATAATGTGCCATATTAGCATAAGCAGCTATAGTAGTCATGATCATGACAACCTGGGAGAGGTAGCAGTGAGCACGGCTAATTCTGTTCATCTCACTACTAGTACTCCATGCAAATCGAACCATGCCCCCTAGGCTGTACTCCTAGATAAACCAGCGGGGCAAGTACAACCCGACTGCCTGCTTGCTGCGACAGATAAAAAGTCCAGAGAAGAACAGCTCAGCCTTGCCTACTGCCAATCCGACAATCTTTAGCCCCCCTCCGCAGCAGACAGCCATGGGTTCCATCGCCCCCGACGTGCCAACCTTCACTCCGCTCGAACTCATCGGCCCCCGAGGCTACATGCGATACGTGTTCACCTTCCCCATAGGCGAGGATTACGTGCTGGAAGATGTGTCCAGAGTCCTGAAAGCCGGCTACGATGCCGCAGCCCAGCGCCTCCCCATTCTAGCCTGCGAGACGATTCCCGACCCGACCGCCAGACAGGACAGTGTAATGAAGCTGCAGATGCTAGGGCCCAACGCAGAAGAGACTATCCTCGTAAAAGACCTACGGACGCAAGAAACACTCCCAAGCTATGCCAAACTCAAAGCCCGACACTTTCCCGTGGACGCCTTCGACGCCGACACATTGTGCCGCCGTGACATCTGGCCAACAGACCCAGGAGAGCACCTCCCCATCTCGCTCGTCCAAGCCAACTTCATCCGCGGCGGACTTATCCTCACATGGTGTATCCTGCATATGGCCGGCGACGGCAACTCGTTCCAAAC